GAATGAAAATATTGCCACACTGGTGAAGTACTGTAACATTTTTTCAGGACGATTTCTTCCACCTCTCCTTGCTGCAAAATCTTGTTTAAGTCACTCTGTTGAGGTTTGAGAGGGGAGGGTTTAGTGACGGAGCATGCTTGGGTCTGTGTTTGATTGGTTGGGTGTAAGTAATGACTCTAGTATGAAGCTACCCAATAGGCTGATATAGGACAGGGCAACATGGCCTAAAATCAGTATCACAATATATTGAGGATTTCACCTGGATACTGATAAATTGTCGATAACTGGTGTGCACAGAAACAAAAGTTGTCCACTAGATGGGGCTGCAACATGTATTAGTTGAGTCACATTTTTATGACTCAAGGTGGTACAGCTTCTTAAAGGACATGAATGTTGCCAACCTACACACATCTTTTCATTTTTTAATTACATTTATTGACATGGAAAACAATATCATAAGAGTCAAAGATTTTGATAACAATACATTTTTGATTTATTGCCCAGCCTTAGGCTGTTATTGAGTTTTGATTTTATTGCTTCATTTTTTTCCTATTGAACCACATGTCTATTGATCGATATATATTGTTATTGAATTATTGTCCAGCCCTAGTCTCTGTCACCTAGGTAACTCAAGTCCCACTAGAAAAGTTACTATCAGTAAGTTTATGGCCCAATTCTGGCAGCTAGTGGTGATGCAGTCCTATAACAACAACGCCACAGACCCCATGGATGGAGAAAAATATGAAAATGGTTTAAACACAGTTTTGTTACATTTTTATAGAGATAATAAACAATCCAGAGAACACATTTTCCCAAGCAGCATGAGTAGCTATGATGGCTCAAACATAAAATCAGCAACCCAAAAAAAGTAGTTAAAGGGATTCTTTTCTTTTTGAACTCCTGTTTAAAATAAGGTATGAAATAAATACTTAAAGTGACATTACTGGGGAAAAAAATGAATGCAAGTCAATGGGACTAAAAAGACTATTTTCAGATGGGCATAGACCGGAAGCTAGTTTCTGTTTATGCCGCTGCAGTCAAAAACCTCTGATTTTCTTTAAATTCCAGCTGTGAAAATCCAAAAACCTTTTTCATCCAAGTGGTGCTCGCTGCAGAACCACAAAGGCGGAGCTGCACCAGAAGGTGGAGCTGCACCAGAGTCAGCCCCGCCCATTCCAGAATCAGCCCTGCCCATTCCATCAGAGTCAGTCCAATTCCTTCCAGTTGTCAGACTTGATAGCATTCTGGAACCAAAGAGGGTGTTATAGCTAAAAAATGCAAGATTGAGGATGGAGTTGAGAAGTTAATTGAACAGTTTTTGTAAAGGTTCCATATAATTGAAAATCTAACTTTTGGAACTTTTAATCATGTTATATTGTCATTTCCTCATAAGAAGCATGCCAAAGCAATTTTTAGCCTCATTCATGCATTTTCCTCCCGTCTCAGCTTCAATTTGGTCTCCTCCCCCGAAGCGGGTCTGGTCTTGGTTCTCAAATCTGGATATTCTGTGAATTTTCTGACAAATTATTTCTGAAATGACTTCTACTGAGACACCGCCGAAAAACCATACAACCCATCTCAGAGACACACTAGGCAGCACAATTAGATGTAACGCCGCATGAGTTATAACAGATGTGGTGGTGTAGTGGTTATGGAGTCAGGTTTACATGCAGTTTTGCGCAGGTTCGCCTCCCATTACTGTAAGTTTTAGGTAGTGTACAACCTCTTTTCTAGCTACACTTGCCAGTACTATGTTTACAACAATTTACTGGTATACAGTTTAACATATAATGACTAATGTGTTTTTTTATTTATTTATTCGTTTATTTAGCCAGTGTGAGTCCATTTGTGAGCAGAGTTTCAACTAAAATGCTGTTTAGGAACGACCAAATTCAAAGAACTTTTACAGACATAAATATTTTGCTGAAAATAAACATTACAACTAAAATATAAACAAATTAAATGTTTCAGCTGGCTAAATAGATTGCTGACGACCCCACCGAGAATCGAACCAGCATCAGCTGAGGGGAAAGCAAAACTTAACTCAGACGATCTCGCCACTAGACTACCAAAGCCCATTCAAAAGTCTGTAATGCTGTTATACACCATTTCTGTTAGACCGGCTGTGGGCAGATATTCGCTGAAAGAAACCTTTTCATTTCGAGATATATTCAGTCTTTGTCATGTAGCAAGTTATATTTATCTTGTTTAATTGGAGCACAGAACATAGCATTAACGACTGTAAACTAGTAACAGCCGTAATTCATGTGGGTCAGGTCAGTTTGCGATAAAGTTGAAAACAAAAACGGAAGTCAGTGGGCTAGGCTGAGTTTGCGTGAATGGGCGGGGCTGACTCTGGTGCAGCTCCACCTTATGGTGCAGCTCCGCCTTTGTGGTTCTGCAGCGAGCACCCTCTCTTTTCATCTGAGGTTTTAATACTTCTCTACACATGCCATTCAAAGAAAATTTGCCTCTGGCCAATACTTTAACCCTCTCAGGACCAAAATAAGTTTTGATAAAAGGAAGAACAACTAAGTCCTTCAGGGGTACTTCTGAGTAAAAAAATGCTCATGAAATATGTATGTGGAGTAACCAGGTAGGTAGGTTTTAACGTTGCAAATCTGCAATGCCTGCCTCCAGACGGTTAAAGAAAACTAAAAAGTTCAAATGTGTTTATCTTCAAAATGTGTCAATAGCAGCTTGTCTAACTTTTTTGGCTTTATTCTATAGTACAAAACTATCTTAATATTTTTGCTTGTTTCTTTTGTATTTCATTTCATGTCTGCAGAGGTTTGCATTTTATTGCCCCTGTGCAACAACATTGTTGGTAAATAACAATAATAACAACACAGAAGAAACACAAAGGACCGATGAGATCACATCTCTGAAGCAGCGTGATCACAACATGGCACAGTTGTAAAGACAGAGGATTAAATGGAAAACAGGATTTCTTATGAAAAATAATAAACCGCCTAACTGCTGCAAATTAGTTAAAGAAGAGAAAAGAAATAATGGTAACCCTTCCTTTTACAGTCCCCTAATTACTAAGTAATTACATGGTAATTACATAGTAAAAGTGTATTCTTGTGTAATTAAAGTGTATAATTGTAATAAAATGTAATTATTGTGTAAAGTTGTATTTACTACGAATGATTAATAAAAAATAAAAACTAGATTTGAACCTGAGTTACATGATAATAACTATTTAAGAACTCAGAAACAATAATACACTTGAACTTACTATGTAAGGAAGTGTTACCGAAATAATTTGAGGTACTGATATTCCTTCCTACATTTAAACAATTTATATCAACTGAAAAATTAAGATTTCCTAATATCTGCTGTTGCACCACATGTAAAAAACAAGTATTTTTATACACTGTAACTCTAAGTACGTTTGTTCTATGTTCAGGGTTTATCCTGCATTCAAATTTGCGTGGCGGCCGCCCCAGCCTGATTTTACTCTGGATGCTATTTTAACTGCAGTTGCAGCGTTGCGCCACCACACGGGCGCTGTATCAGCAGCGGTGCACCGAAAAGCACTAAAACCACTGCAGACAAAGATCAAAAATTGCTTTTCTCGCTAGTTGGTACATATTTATGGTTGGTGCTACTGACGTCCTGATTTTCCCCCAGGCACTTCTTCCCTATCAGAGCAGGGCTGTACAGTGCGATGACAAAACACTGTCTGTGCATGTCTGTCTATTTTTAAACGTAGCACTGGTGCAACATCTTTGAATGACTATTTTCCCCAGAACTTTATTGAACAAAAGTAAGTTACGTGTAAGAAAAATGCTTTTTACTGGTGCACAGTGTGGTCATCTGGATGCAGTGGAGGAAAATAAAGCAACCAGCAAAGGCACAAAGGCAGAACCGGTCCAAAGTTTGGGATCAAAAGTGCAGCTACACGCAGATTGGCTAATGCTAAAGCCAACGGGTAGCAGTCTCACGATCAAGTGGCGCACAAAAAAATATATGATGATATAATGAAAACTAAGAAAGACTAAACTCTACAAGCGGATGAAAAGTCCCCACCATCCTGTTTATTCTGCGTCCTGCAACGCTACGGATTAGAACCGCTGCAGATACGAGTCACATTCGCAGGATGTATGGCCAGCCGCTGTAGTATATAATTCACAAACGCATCTATCTTTGAACATAATTTGAACTGGATTATTGCCAACCCGTACATAATAGACATGCCACCATTACATTGTTAGCAGCAGAAATTAAATGTTATTACCATTTCCAACACAAATGCATGTTAATGAAATGCATTTTATTTTACTGGATATATTTGTGTTATTTTGACTATGATGAGTGTTATTAATACAAACCTAAAATGTTACTGAAATGTAGGTTTAAATTTTAAAAATATTTTTACTATAAATATCAGATGGGAAAAAGGGAACTAAACACCAATCTAATGCATATTATTGAGCCTTTTATAACATTTTGCCTTTAAAAAGGTGAGGCAGTTGAATGCACAGAGTATGCATGTGCTGGCACATGGTCAGGATGGTACCACCTCTGCCTCAATTTGAGCCAGGAAAAACACTGTATGTTTAACTTCATAATCCATTAATTTATTCTTTTTTTAAGTAAAGAACAATGTTTTACTGAACTGTGTAAAGAACAATGTAATGGTTTTATTCCCTGTTTGGTTCATACAGTCAGCTGTTATGTCTGTGTGTGGCTGTAGGTGTGGAGCGTTCTCAGGAGGGGGATGCGAGTGATGAGAATGAAGAAGCAGAGTTCTTCGATGCCATGGAGGACTCCCCTTCGTTCATAACTGTGACTACTGGTGGTGAGACACAGCGCAAGTAAGAAACGTCAAATTCAAATGATTAAAAGTCATCTTAAAGGTGCAGTGTGTAAGAGTAAAGTAAGATTTTTACACTGAAATAATCTCAAAACAGTTTAATGTCTCAATCGTGTTGGAAGGAAGGTTGTACTGAAACATATTTCATTCTCAGTCAGCTGTGCGGGTTGTCATTTTTTGTCCTTTCAAAATAAAGGAAAGAGGGACCTAGCTACTTTTTGGGGTTGCTGTGTCAACTGCGAGCCATCGCTGCAGTGCCGGCATTTATAATTCGACTACGGCTGGCAAAAAGCTCCAGGGTTGTTTAAAGAATCAAAGCCAGTAACAAGAGTGACCCAAAAGTTATTTCTTGTACTCCTAAAATGCCATGAGATCTTTTTGTTTTACTCTAATATTTGGTAAAGAAGGCTAGAGGTTATCCATGCCTTTATCTTCTCCCGTCTAGATTACTGTAACACACTTTTCATGTGTTTTAACGCGTGAAAAGGCTCCTAACTGAAGCTAACAGAAGAGCACACATCACTCCTATTCTAATGTCTCTGCACTGGTTACTCATTAACTTTAGAGTTCATTTTTGAATCCTGACTATAACTTTCAGTGCTCCACATGGTCAAGCGCAACAGTTTTGCTCCAACCCAAGCCCTCAGGTCCACCCACCAGAACCTTCTAGAAGTTCCAAAGACCAGATGTAAAGTTGAGGTGCTCGCTCCTTCCAGACTGTTGCACCCCGACTTTGGAATGATCTTCCTTCATCCTTATGTATTGTTGACAGTCTGAACACCTATTTTTAACACAAATTTGTAATTTTCCATCTATTTATGGCATTTTATGATTTTATGACTTTATTTTTTTCCGATGTTAATCTATTTCTGTTTTGAGATCATTTTGATTTCATGACTTTGTTTTATTTTGTTTTGATCTATGTGAAACACTTTGTGATTCTAAGTCTGTGATAAGTGCTATATAAATAAAATGTACTTACTACTTACTTACTAATGTTGAGCTAACAATGCTAACAATGTTTAAGAACCAAATAGATGGCTCTAAAAATATGTCAAGCTACTTTTTCAATTACTAACAACGGGATATTACAGTGAAATGTGTTTGTGAAGTGAATGATGAGTCAGCCGTGGCATTTTACTTCCTTAAATGAGTCGTTCAGAGCAAAAACAGCAAGCTACCGGCATCCAGACAGTAAAAACACTTCCTCTATGCCAGAAACATATAATCGTAATAAGTGTAGTAAGTGCTCCCTACTAAAACACTCAAGAATGCTAACACCAGATATGTATGACTCGTCTTTGCTTGCTATCTAGAATTTTCTGGTGCTGACCCATAACCGGCAACAGCCATGAAACTCACAAAACAGGAGTGAGAGAGATTGCAGTAACCAAATTTGACCACAGGATGTCATCTTACTTTATTCGTACACACTGCACCTTTAAGCTTATGTGACTATAGTTTAAATCATCTTCATATTCCTGTTTATAGGCGCTCTGGGGGTAACCAAAGTATGAGTGGAGGAGTGGCCAATGACTGGACTCACAATGAGAATGTAAATATTTTAATAAATAAGCTGCGTTTTACTCAGTTGTATCACAGACTCTTATGTCTATTAGATGTTTTTTTTGTTTGACCTAGCTTTCATTAAAAAGCTTTGTGTCTGGTTTTGCTGTTTAAAGGACACCACGGGCACAAACCAGATGCAGCCACGAAGGACAAGGCGCAGCCGTATTCCTGACAAACCCAACTACTCCCTGAATCTGTGGAGCATCATGAAGAACTGTATTGGCAAAGATCTGTCCAGGATACCCATGCCTGTAAATTAGAAACAAAGTCCACCACATAAAAGTGGTGTGCTGTTAATAGAAGGGTATTCTAAATGTAAAGTTTCCTGTTTTCATTCAGATCAATTTCAACGAGCCGCTGTCGATGCTTCAACGTTTGACAGAGGATCTGGAGTACAGCGAGCTGCTGGACCGGGCAGCTTGCTGCGACTCCGCCCTGGACCAGATGTGCCTCGTAGCCGCCTTCTCCGTCTCCTCCTACTCCACCACAGTCCATCGGACCGCCAAGCCCTTCAACCCTCTGCTGGGGGAGACGTATGAGCTGGACCGGCTGGAGGAGTACGGCTATCGCTCCATTTCTGAGCAGGTGAGACAGAAAGATAGCTAATATTCCGAGATGAGTGTAATGTTTATAGCCTTGCTAATACCAGCTGCTGCTGCTCACCTTCAGGTCAGCCACCATCCACCAGCTGCTGCCCACCATGTGGCGTCGCAGCGAGGATGGACTCTATGGCAGCACATCACTATTGATAGCAAGTTTCGTGGGAAATATATTTCAGTCATGCCATTTGGTACAAATCAGTCAGCACCATTATTTTATGTATTACCACAGATTAGATATGATGGATGTTTATATTTTTGCCTCTTCTTCGTCACAGGTAACATTCACCTGCAGTTCCACTCAAATGGAAACCATTATGTTTGGAGCAAAGTGACATCAACAGTGCACAACATCATTGTAGGGAAACTTTGGATCGATCAGGTCGGTTTTTCCTGCACTTAATTCATAAATCATGCGTTCAGACAGAGAAATAAGCTCGAAAGAAACATGTAACAAGTATAATTAGGTTCACAATATTTAAATGTGAAACTTTCCACTATAAGAAAAAAAAAACAATGTTGATTACACAGAGTTGTCATAGTAGGGTGAATGTGGAGGATTCGATGGGCTAGGGTGTTCAAAGTGAGGCCCGTGAGCCATTTGAGGTCCTTGGAGTGAGTTTGTGGCCTGTAACTGAGGATCCAGTCCTCTCAGCTGTTGAGCCTTCATAAAAAATCAGTCCTTTCAGGACCTTGCTACAACGTGAGTTATGTGATGTCACTGATCAGTGTTCAAGGCGTCCCCGGACACTACTAATTTAATCCATTTGGCTGTGTGATGTAAAAAGTGGCGTTCCATGACCAGAAGAAGCACCGTTTTTTATTGTGCTCTGAGAGACAACAAAGCATCATGAATGAATAGTTGTGGAGGGATTCCCACCATATTTTACTGTGTTGGTAATTTAGAAACAGTGATTTTAAAGCAGTGTTAACCCTGCTTATTTCATTTTCCTTCCAATCTGCTTCACCAGCACCTCTTCCACTTTTATGAATGCTATTTTTTTTGGCCACATCTGCCAAAGATAGTTTATACGAATCATCATGAGTTAACCACAGCAACTCTACTGGGCCATTTCTGAGTACATACCCCGGTTCAGGTACACCGCTGGTTGCTGAAATGGCAAATGGTCGTTTCAGGCCAGCCAGGTGAAATGGTGGCACACAAACGTCATGAAAGTCCAGTAAGATTACCTCGAAGTTCCTATAGTGGAAAGGGGCCTTTTGATTGCAATTCAAGAATAGTATATTTTTGTCGTGACAAAATACATCAACATTTATTTGAATCTTAATTTTAATTTTTAAAATCCATAAATAGATAATCAAAATTATATGGAATAGAAGCATGGATTATCTAATAAATGCTGAGAAATTCAAACTGAGAACAAATATTTTATCATCAAAGTGAAATGGACCACTTATAAAACTTGATTAAACAGCAAGAATGACCAAAGACAAGGTGACCCATAACTCATTTTTGTTGATAGACACAATTTTATTATCATGACATGTAAAATGGAAAACCATTGACAGTTCCAACCCAGGGAATTTATTGCTTTTCTTTATTTAGGCAAACAGACGAGACCATTTTTTGTCTCAAATCCTCAGATTTGCAGAATCTATAAAAACACAAACACTGTGTTCCGTTTGTTGCACTCATGCATTTTTTATGTATTAGGGGCAACGGTGGCACAGGAGTTAAGTGCTCGCCACATAATCGGGAGGTTGCAGGTTCGAGCCCCACTCAGACTGTCGCTGTCATTGTGTCCTTGGGCAAGACACTTAACCCACCTTGCCTGCTGGTGGTGTTCGGAGGGACCGGTGGTGCCTGTGTATGGCAGACTCATCTCCATTAGTGTGCCCCAGGGCAGCTGTGGCTACAGTGTAGCTCATCACCACCAGGGTGTGAATGGGTGAATGACCGATTGTGTTGTAAATCACCTTGGGGGGTTCTAGGACTCTAGAAGACGCTATATCAAATACAGGCCATTTACTGTATATTGTTCAATCTCTGTGGCCTGCATGAGTACTTGGCAATTTTGGCCCACGTGTTGAACATATGGGGCACTACACTTAAATGAATAAAGAGGATGGTGTACAAACAAGGTAGGAGCATGAAGAAAAACCAACAGTAAATCAAAGCAAACACTAAAATCTGACAATGATCTGAGAAAAAATAAGAATAACTACTGGGGCAGACGACTGACATAAAAACCTGTTGAACCGATGAACAGACGTGTGAAAGCTGCACAATAGCTGGGGGGACATAAACAAATGGCACAGGGGGCTAATACATTCAGAATACAATGAAAAGTCAAATCACAAACTTCAAGAGGTCCAACAAAAATTAACAAGATGACAGAATACAAGCATAATACAAAATGTTTTACATACAAGGAACTAAAGATCTCTCACAGGGCAAAAAAACAAAGAAAACAGAATAGAACTGAATAGAGCTCCGGGAGTTGACGTTACTTCTCCCGGCATGCAACAGTTCAAATCGAAACGGTGCCATCTTGGCAGGCAGAAGCCCGCAGCTGGACTATTTGTTATTGTCAGAAAACTCAATCAAATGGGAAATATGGTAGATTCCTGTTATGCCTCAGGATGCAGAACTGACGAGGACGAGATAAGGGATGAGCCGTCTACAGGATTCCCCAAGATCCGGAACGCTGCAAACGTTAGATCATTGCAATAAAACACGATAGTGACCGGGCTAAAATGAAACTGTGGGATCCCGAGAGTAAATGTTTTCACTTATGCAGCGACCACTTCATATCAGGTACTTAAACCAACGTTTCCTCAACTGTGTATGGTATTTATTTTAAATGCTTTTATTGCGATTCTTAGTGGGCTTCCTAAACTTATTTTGGCGTGGCGTTTTCTGTCTTATTACTCATAGCAACAAGTAAACATCACATAAAACGTTGCCTCGTGATTTCTGCGTGCTGCAGTTTACGTGTCATGATCACAGCAATTAACCGGCTAAGCTGTATTTAATTTTTAAGCAATGGTTGATCAATTGTCAGATCACACATAAAAAGCACTTTGGATTGCTATTATCTGTCTCACCGAGACAGATCTCAGACAGATCCTGAGACGCTCCTGCCTGACATATTTATTTATTCACAGAAAAATATCAGACTAGTGATTTCTCTTGGTGTTCAGTTTATACATTCAAACAGCACAGCACTCTATTTAAACAACTTCTATGTTATTTGTCCATCCATCCATTTTCATCCGCTTATCCGGAGTCAGGTCATGGGGGCAGTAGCCTAAGTCGAGAGGCCCAGACTTCCCTCTCCCCAGCCACTTGGGCTAGCTCCTCCAGGGAAATCCCAAGACGTTCCCTGGCCAGGTCCGCTCCGACAGCTTCTGGCATTTTTAAAAAGTATCCCAGGGGCACGGTAAGGGTCGGAGATGTTTAGTCTATTTAATTTCTGACTATATAAAACAGTTTCTTCAGTTTTAAAGTGTGAAGTAAACTCCGACGGAGTAAAATCCAAGCCGATCCCATTCATTTTGTTTACCTTTGTTACCTGCCAACGTGGCGTCTACTCTCTGAGAGTCACGTGACATCCGGAGCTCTATAGAACCTAATTATGAAATAAACTAAATTCCTAATACCTTATAAAAAAAATAGTTTTTGAAAAATCCTTCTGTTGATTTTAGATGGATTTATGTTAAAAAGGGAGTGTAGTTTTACTCTGTCACGTTATTTCCTTACTATACCATACCATACTTTATTTACATACCACTTTAAAATCTACTCAAGCCCATCCAAAGTGTTGACTGACCTCCTGTCTCACGCTGTTAACAGTCTGGAGACATCGACATTGTGAATACAACTACAAAGGACACCTGCCACCTGAAATTCTCACCATACAGTTACTTCTCCAGAGACGTCCCACGCAAAGTATGTTGTCTCTATTCAGTAGCAACTACATCTGCTAGTTGGCTCTGAATAAATTCAACACTTGTTCATTTTTCATTTTTTATTTTCACCAGGTGACGGGAGTGGTGGAAGACCGAGAGGGCGCAGCACATTACATCCTGTCAGGAACCTGGGATAACAAAATGGAAAGTGCAAAAATAGTGGAAAGCAGCCAGGGATGTGGAGGCACTGAAGGCAAACAGAAGACTGTCTATCAGACTCTTCAGCCCAAACTGCTGTGGAAGAAATACCCTCTCCCGTATGGTTACTAAATCTAACTCCTCACCACATCCTTCTGATTCACTTCAACAGCGTGTCCATTTTTGTAATCTCTGTCTTCTGTCTCAGAGAAAATGCAGAGAACATGCACTTTTTCTCTTCCCTGGCGTTGACCTTGAATGAACCAGAGGAGGGTGTTGCACCCACTGACAGTCGCCTGCGGCCGGACCAGCGACTGATGGAGGCGGGTCTGTGGGACGAGGCAAACATCGAGAAGCAGCGATTAGAGGAGCATCAAAGACTCGAGAGAAAAAGAAGGGAGGCGCAAGCTAATCAGGCTCTGGATGAGGGTGAGTAGTTATAGAGAGGTTTTCTTTAAGAATAATTATGTTTCTTTATAACTATGGTTAGATTTAGGATTGTATTATTCTTTATCAGGTCAGGACATTGAGGGTTACCAGCCAGTGTGGTTTGAGAAGAGAACAGATGATTGTACAGGAGAGAGCACCTACGTCTACAGAGGAGGCTACTGGGAAGCCAAAGACAGACAAGACTGGAGCCTGTGTCCCGAGATCTTCTAGAAACCTGTTAGTTGCTCATATTTCTCTTTAGATATGCATGACACCAAGACTCAAGCACAAAAACACCCAATTTCGGATTTTTTAGCCTGACAAGCCATCCAATATACTCTGTATGTTAATATACATGGTATAGTATAGTCTGGCCACACCCATAGACAGAACTGTCATGGGGCGGAATCTTTGGTTGTTTCTGCTTGCAAATGTACAGCGCTAGGACAAATCAGAGCCATGAACAATGTAAAATTATCATTATCATATTTATGAAAATCTGCCAATGGAGCAGTCCACCATACACCATCAAAGAACAAGAGCAAAATTATAATATTTCTAAATAAAAAACTTATATTCCTCTATCTGCTCATGTCAAAGAATAGCTCAAGTCTAAATCGTTTTAACCAAGTGCTGTTCCTTAGACGACACCATCTTTGTAGTTTTTCTCCATCGCGACTCTGGTTCTAAGCCTGCCTAATATCACTCAACAAACACAGAGCAATGTGATTGGCTAGACACAAAACTGTTCGGACCAATGGTAGATGTGCTGAGGCTACAATAGGAAGTCTAAGTCACTCCCTCCTACTTCTGCATCATGGGTCCCCGGAAGAACGAAAAAGTGAATGCAAGTCAATGGGGCTAAAAATGCTATTTTCTAATTCCGCTTGTTACGTGGCATGGATTTTACATATGATCTTCGTGAATTGTAAAGACACATTTTGATACAAAGACTCACTTATTTTTGAATAGGGGGAAATGCTATTTTAGGTTTTGTGTAAAAATAAGTCAGGGACTACAAATGCGCTTCAAGAAAGTGACATCATCGAACCAGACATGGAGAAAAACAGGGAAAAGGGCTGTAAGTTTAGCAAACTTAAAATCCTTCCTTCACGAGGAACAAACCACCATAAATCTGGCCATTTGGTAAGTAGCAGCTGTGCTAGGTTCATCACGGCATGGTTTCCCTCCAACGTCCGTGCGAACCTGCCTTACTCTGCCAAGGCCACTCTAACCCACGCATCTAGCTTACCACCTGTGATGCGATGTTGTGGCTGCGTCTGGCTTGTCTTCTAGCCCGTCGGTTGCTTCCGCTCTCCGCTATCCTGTCAACCATGGCTCTACGATACGCACCCTCGCAGCTCCTCTGGCTCAACCACAGTTCACCTCTACCGACGGACCTCACCACTGCAATCTCACAGCTTGGACTTCTCCGACCTCGCCCCTACATCCATAGAGGCTCCTGTCGCAAGTTTGTTTACAACCTATCAGCTGATAACTGCATCTCCACACGCTGGTCTGACTGTAGCTCCCGCTCCTTCATTCATCTGCTCCAAATCTTCCACCTACGTCATCCGAGCTCCAGTCGCATGACTCATGATAACATCCTGCTATTCCCAACTTCCGCTCCACGATTTTCACAACAAAAACGCATAAAATCTGTTCTACTCAACACCAGGTCTCTTAATAATGAAAGCCAAATTAAACAGGAATTTATAACAGACAATATGCTTGACTTTCTCTGTCTCACTGAAACCTGGCAGAAACCCATGGACTATTTTGCACTAAACCAGATCACCCCCACAGGATACACCTACTTGGATAAGCCTCGCTCTGAAGGCTGGGGAGGGGGTATCGCCGTCATCTATCGCGAGGACCTTACCCTGCGCCCCATCTCCATACCCTCTGCTTCATTCTTCGAACATCTGGTCTTCAGACTTCCTGGATCTCAATCACTACTGGTTGCCATATTTTACCGTCCTCCCAAAATGAACCAAAACTTTCTTTCAGATTTCAGTCATTTTCTTACTCAGCTCTCCTCCATCACACCTTCTGTTCTAGGGGATTTCAACATTCATGTTGACTCCTAAATCTAAGTTCACAGCCGACCTCCTGGACATTCTAAACTGCTTCAACTTGACTCAACACATAAACTCCCCCACACACAGACATGGTCACACTCTGGACCTAGTTTGCAATACGCCCTCCCTGACCATCCAAAACCTGCCGACTTTTGAAACTTTCCAATCCAGCTTCCGTGCTCATCATAGCACTGAAACTGCCTTACTGAAAGTAACCAACGACCTCTTGATTGCTTCTGACTCTGGTTCCCTCACCATTCTCCTCCTCCTTGACCTCAGCTCAGCTTTCGATACCATCAATCATGCCATCCTTCTTAACCGTCTTCAATCATACAGGCTCAGCACTCAACTGGTTCTGTCACGTTTTGAGCCAGGAGGAGGTTAGGACCAAAGATGCAGAAAACTCCAGAACGACAAAAGCAGGTAGAAAAAACGTAAAATCCTTTAAGGAATAAATGTCCATGAAACCAAAAAGTCCAAAAATATCCAAAGCACAAAAACCTAGAGACCTAGTAGCAAAAACCTAGAGGCCAAGACAAACCTAATACCTAAAGACCTAGAAGCATAAATCCTAGAGATCTAGAGGGGGGAACGAGACAGCGCTGACACAACAACAATGGACCGACAACACACTGAGATGCAGACAGGGTTATATATACAGGGGCTGGGTGATAAAGGGAATTGGACACAGGTGAGACTAATAACAGAGGAGAGGAGCAGAACGGAGCATGGGAGGAAACCAGACCTAACTAGGGAAGGAAGCAAAAATGAACCAAAGGGAGACACTGACTAAATGATCCAAACATGACGGAAACCTAATGATAAGCGGGGTGACTAAGGGACATGTGAGGGAAACCTAGAGAGAACCTGGAGGGGGCTGGGGACCACAGGAACACAGAAACCTAAGGGGAACACCTAAGGAGAAAACCTGGAGTGGGCTGGGGAACACAAGGAGGCACATGAGGAACACAAGGAGATGCATAAGGGGAGCCTAGAGAGGGATGGGGAACACAAGGGGACACATGACACAAGGGGACACATGAGGGGGATGCAGAACATGACAGGTTCACTTCTTACCTCTCCGACCGCCACCACTATGTCTCTGTCAACTACTGCACCTCACACACTGCCCTTGTCACCCACGATGTTACCCAGGGCTCTGTGCTGGGGCCACTCCTCTTCATCCTTTACATGCTCCCCCTTGGTCATGTCATACGCCAACATGGTCTCCACTTTCATTGCTACACTGACGACACACAACTCTACATCTCCAGCAAATCAATCAACCCAGCCATTCTTCCCACAATCTCAGGATGCCTCTCTGACATAAAACATTGGATGGATACCAACTTCGTCAAATTGAACTGCTCCAAAACAGAACTCCTCATCACTGGTCCCAAATCTCTCCTACCCTCAGTTCAAAATATTTTTGTACAAACTGACAGTCTCACAGTGACTCCCTCCTCTACAGTCCGTAATCTCGGTGCCACCTTCGACTCCTCCCTTTCCTTCAAGTCCCACATCAACAACATCCACAGGGTATCGTTCTTCCACCTCGGCAACATTGCCCATCTCCATCCATCCCTCCCTGACTCCACTGCCCAAACACTCATCTTTGCCTTCATAACTTCTAGACTGGACTATTGTGACAGCATTCTTTACAGACTTCCTTCCTCCGCCCTACAAAAACTTCAATACATCCAAAACTCAGCAGCACTTTTACTCACCTACACTCGCTCCAGGGACCACATAACTCCAGTACTCAAACAACTTCACTGGCTCCCAGTTTCATACCGGATCCATTACAAATTGCTCCTCATCACTTACAAATGCCTCAATAACCTTGCACCATCATTCAGATTTTTTTTCAGATTTCAGATTTTATTGGCCAAGTAAAATTACATTTACAAGGAATTTGGCTTCGGTAGATGTTCGCTCTCTAAAACATACAACCACAATAAATGAGAATAAAAATATCTGACGGACCATATCTGACGGAACTTCTCCATCGCCATTCTCCTTCCCAGCACCTCCGTTCTGCTGACTCCAACCTCCTTTCCCCTTTTAAAACAAAACAATGCTCCACGGGGGATCGAGCCTTTGCAGCCGCTGCCCCCACACTCTGGAACTCTCTCCCACTAAACATCAGGAATGCCGTCTCTCTTTCTACTTTCAAGTCACTGCTTAAAACCCACCTCTTTAAATTGGCCTTCCCTTAGGATCAACCTAGCATCCCCCAGTCTGTTTAATATGTTTAATTTTGTTTTATTATGTGTTTATTGTATTTTTTGTGAAGCGTCTTTGAGTGACCTAAAAAGTGCTATATAAGTTTGATTTATTATTATTATTATTATTATTATTATTATTATTATTTTTAATTGTGGTACAACATATGTGTGATCCAGGGTCTAAGGCAAAGCGGATTAGAAAATAGCTCTTTTAGCCCTGTTGACTTGCATTCATTTTTTCGTTCTTCTGGGGATCAATGAGCCGACCGTATAGGGAGGAGACCTGGGCTCCCTATGGAGCGTAGCTAGAGCAAATTGCAGAGCCAAATCCTTTTGCTACCGCTACGGTCTTTCCAGATTTCTAAGCTATGATCTACTCGCTTAGATACAGCTGTGTTTCTGGGATGCATGGCTTTAGTGAAAGCTGCTTTCTGGAGTTTTACCCTTTCAGAAATTATGTATGATTTGTCAGAAATCCATAAAAGTGATTATCTTATCATGTACTGTGATATAATATAAGCAATACATCTTTTTTTTTTGCTAAGCACGCCCCCTGCTCCGCAGAGCTCCGTGCAATAGGAAACTGAGCGCCGACAAGAACTAACCAATAGCTTAATGGGCTCGACACACGGGAGGCGACAAACGACCGCGATCAGCGAAATTTGTCGCCGTTGCTTTTATTACCTGACACACGGGAGGCGATCCGTGGCAGCGGCCAGCGGCAAAGCCGTCTACGCGTTCTGTTCCATGGCGAAATCGAAACTTCCGTTGTTTTGTTTGGCTGTGTCAGGTTGGAGGGAATTAAGGTTATTTAAGTGGTTCAGAGTTAATAAAGTGGTAGATATGATGTTTCACAAGGTGCTGCTAGAGTTATGTGAAATCTAACTTCTGATTTTATTATATAAAACATAATAATAATCATCAACTTCTCCTCCATGTTTGTACGGAGCATCCTGTCCGCTCATTGGTCTGTGAATGAAACCGTTGATTGGTCCTCGTCCGAGCGACAGCGATGAAAAGTTGAAAATGTTTCAACTTTCTGGGATTGCGTCGCTGGGCCGCCTGTGCACGACACGTGCACGAGCGCAAAATTTCACATGCACGTTTTTTGCGTTTTGCTTGGTAGGAGGGAGACCCGCGATTATCGCTTTGTCGCGCATGTCTCATTGAAAATGAATGGAGGAGAGGCGATGTCGCCTCCCGTGTGTCGAGCCCATTAGACTACCGCTTAGATGCTTCACATTTAAGGAATACCTCGGCTGATGCAGAGTTGATGAATTTTTCACGGACAAGAAAGTCTCTAAAATATGAATATATGAAAACACAACATGACATGAGAATAATACTCGTAAAACAATGTGTTTTAGCTCTGTTTGTCGGCTACAGAAGCACATTTATAAACAGAAATGTGAAGTCGCCATCTTAAAAAAACTGAGGAACAGCGGTTTTGTGTGATACGCTTGTCAGCCACTAGATGGTGCCATCGGATAAGAGAAATACTACAGAAAGAAGCTTTAATGCTGTACAGAACAAAATTATGTAAGTTATGTCAGGTTCTGTGTGTTTGATTGAAACACGGTTGAACAAGAACTATTTTTGCACTGAAGCACACTTGGCTGGGACTGTGAGCTAACTTGGGGGCATGAAGTGCTCTGGAGATCTGCCACAAGCACTGAATGTTTTCTCCACTTAAACGTTGGAAGAAGCACAAGGTTGTTAATTTTCTGTTATTCAAACAGCTCTGACAGAAACACCAAACTTTGAACAAATTTACGTCTTCTTCTGCGCTTTAAAGTTTACTTTACCTGCTGCTTCTTTGGTGATTTTCCGTTTCACCGTGCACCAAGAACATTCTTCCTATCTTTTAGAATTGATGCCTGAAACAAAGTAGGTGCCGGTCATAGGTGGATATTTAAAAACACTTCTTCTGTGCTAAAACTAGATTTCTACTTCTGATGAAGGTGATGGTATTCATTCCCAATGGTGACTTATTATTTCCCTTCATCAGTCTGCACTTATGTGTCTGCTACTTCAAATCAAACAAGTATTTATTGTTTATTTCCAAAACAAAATACTTTTTATGGCACCTCTGGTTCACCATGGGTCCCTGAAACGTCCACAGTTAAGTGAAAATGCTGTGTAATTATATTGCCCATCAGATGAACTGTTTTGCTAGAAAAACTAAGTAACACCTCATGAGAATGTGCCCAAAGTACTTAGAGAATTTCCTGAATACTGAAACTGAGTTACTTTAATGTTGGGTTTTTTTTCAGTCAATAACTTAAAATCTGGGTCTAAGTAGGTGTTTCTCTTCAGTGTTGCCCACTCAGGACAAGGGACTGAATCAAGAACAGATTCCATCTAATTCTTTACTTTCTGAGAAACAAGTTTAAGGTGCAGTAAGAATAAAGTAAGATGACATCCTGTGGTCAAATCCTGTGGTTATCACAATCTCATGAGTTTCATGGCTGTTGCCAGTTATGGGTCAGCACCAGAAGATTCTAGATAACAAGCAAAGACGAGTCATACACAGTAAGTTGATAAGTAGAAAATTACATTGTCATAGCTGGTGCTAGCACTCCCTGATGTTTTACAGTAGAGAGCACTCACTACGTTCATTACTGTAATATGCCTCTGGCATAGAGGGTGTTGTTTTTACCTCTTGGCTGTTAGCTTGCGGTTATAGCTCTGAACAACTCATTAAAGCAAGTAAAACGCCACGTTTGATTCATTCACTTCACACACATTTCACTGTAATATCCAGTTGTTTGAAATTTTAAAAGTAGCTTGCGATACTTTTATAGCTGACTATTTGCTTTTAATTTACCGTTAGCAGTGATAGCTCAACGTTAGCCTCTAGCCTTCTTGGCCCAACAGAGTAAAAAAAATAAAGATGACGTGGCTTTTTAGGGTACAAGAAAACACTTTTGGGTCACTGTTGTTACTTGCTTCAGTTCTTTAAACAATTCTGTGACCTTTTGAGTGCCGTAGTCGAGTTGCAAATGCCAGCGCTGCAGCGTTAGCTCGCAGAAGACATGACAACCCCACACTCACTGATGGTAAACAGTGGCTATGTCTGTCCTTCTTTTATTTTGAAAGGAGAAAATCTGGCAACCTCCTCAGCCGACTAAGAATGAAAAATGTTTCAGGATAATCATCGTTCCAACATGATTGAGACATTAGCCTGTTTTGGAATTTTTTCACTGTAAAAATCTTACTTTATTTGTACACACTGCACCTTTAAATCATTTGGACATTTTCTAAATTTCATAATATTTAATTACATTATAAGTGGGTTGACTAATTAGTTTCCAGTCTGCCTCATCTTCATCTTCTTCTTCCGCCTCTTTGGGCTTTTTCCTTTAGGGGTGGCCAAAACAAATCATCTGTCTCTGTTTAGTCCTATAATTACCATACCATACCATACCACCTTTATTTATATAGCACTTTAAAAACACAGCCATACGGCTGACCAAAGTGCTGAACAGTCGCACAATAACAGAGATAGAAAACATAAAACAGTACTATGAAATACAACCAACAGTAAAAAAGACAAGCCGATAAAAAATTACCAATAAAAACCTTACAATGGATGATAAAATAAGAGTAGTAAAAACCAAACTAACAGCTAACTATTAAAAGCAAGGGTAAAATAGTGTGTATTTAGTCTAGACTTAAAATCTGCCAAGGTGGATGTCAGTACAACTGTGACTGGAAGTTCGTTCCACAGTTTAGGACCCGCGACAGAGAAAGCTCTTCGTCCGCATGATTTGTAACACGCTTTCGGGACCTCGAGGAGCAACAGGCTGGAGGACCTGAGTGTACGACCAGGAGTATAAATTGAAAGAAGAACAGATAAGTACACAGGGGCAAGACCATGGAGGGATTTGAAAACAAAAAGTAGCATTTTATATTGGACTCTGAAAGTGATGGGCAACCATTGAAGGGATAATTAATTTAAAATCAATCTTGTTTATTTATGTATTTATGTAAGTGCCCAGAGATTTTTGTTCCATTGTTGTTATGAAAACTAACAAAATTAGAAAAACTCTCCAAGAATAATGAAAGTCACTTTTCAAAAATTTAAATACAGCTGTTGACTTAAAGGCTTTTGAAAGCGCCTAATTTGTTCAGATTGTATCTGAAGTAATCATATAAACATATTAAGAATCGACCATAAGACATATTAACCCTCCCACATTGAGCAGGGTTGATGGTTTATCCCTTGGGTCCATGTGGCAAGGGTGAGGACTGAGCACCACCTCACCCTTGCCCCGTGGACCTCAAGAGATAAACCATCAATCCTGCTCAATGGTCAACTTTCCTCGCGGGTTCACCTATAAAGACAGTGGGAGGGTTAAAGAATAAATCTGCTAAACATTCAGGATTTTATTGGTGCTTATTGGGAATTTTAGCCTTAATTACAGTATGTCATACTTGTGAATCTTTTGTACAGAAGATGGACACATGAAAAACATTTGTGTTTTTATAAACATGTATCCTCAATCAAAAGTTTAGGACACTGACACCATAATAAACCTTTGCTGCTTCATTAACACATTATATTCCAGCAATAATACAAGCTGAAAAGCAACAAACATACTTTGGAGAACTTATTATTATAGTATAGTAGCACATCAGAGCAGGAATGTGGTATACACGTCAGTCAAGTGTCAGAAAGAGGCATTAAGAAATTAGCTACCAGCACGTTAGCAGTAAATACCATCTCTAACTGGTCTGCTCCTGTTTATTTATACCCCATCTGTGTTTAAAAGGGCATGGTGCACATGTATGACACTACCTGGTTGTTTTATGCTTTGTATATAGCAACAATACAATAGAAGTAGAAGCACATTGATGAAAATCACAAGTATAAATATTGTTTACTTGAATAATCATATTTCAATCGTCACCATTTATTCTAGGTGTATGGAGTTGAGACCAAACACTAACGAGGTTTTGCATAAAAACCCATCATGAATGTAAAATAATGGGATACATCATATAATAGTGATTATGAACATACAATGCTGTTTAAATGAAGCACAAAACCATGTTTATCTTATGATTCATGCTAAAAGTTTTCCATATAGCAACATATACAGCAGCTATGCATGGTTTTAGAGTGCTCGTGCACTACTGTAGCGAGAAGCCTTTTCACATAGCGTTGTGGATTATAGATTAGATTTAATGTGGATTCACCTTTTGTGCCCAATTACCTCAAGGGATTTGACATATTTCAGATGAAATAAATATATTAAAATGATACTGTGCTATTTGTTAATGTTAAATCCTTGTTTCTGTCATTTACCTCTCTGTAGACGACGGTTAATAAATGAGAGATCTAGAAAAAGAGAAAACAACACATTCATGGGAAAACACAAAAACTCCATGCAGAAAGTCTGTAGTCACTCATGATTTGAACCTATGACCTTCTCACTGCGAGGCAAAAGTGCTGCATGGTGGTGGTTTTGGTAACATCATTACCTTGCAAGCAACCTTTTGGCGAGGTGTTTGTATGTTCTCCCTGTGCATGTATGAGTTTTCTCCACAGGCTTTCCTCCCACAGGCTAAAAAAAACATGAATGTCAGGTGGGCAAAATTGTCAGCAGAATAAACATAAATTAGCCCTAAATTCGACTTTCAATGTCAAAACACATAAGTTCACAATGTGTCAAGTTAAAAAAATAACTAATTTTGATCAAAATCTCCACCTTTGCTCTTGGAAACCTGCATCTTTCATGATGCAAGTTAAGATAATTTTATTTAGTTTTTCATTGACATTTGATCATTTGTAAATGAACATTTTCCCCTGGATCATTAAAAATATCTTGATTATCATGTCTGGTTGTTGCTCATTACTTTATATTAACCATGAATACATTTTGTCAGGAAATTAATCTCCTAAGAGCATCGCATTGCATCGATAGAGATGGATGGATGGATGGATGGATGGATGGATGGATGGATGGATGGATGGATGGATGGATGGATGGATGGATGGATGGATGGATGGATGGATGGATGGATGGATGGATGGATGGATGGATGGATGGATGGATGGATGGATGGATGGATGGATGGATGGATGGATGGATGGATGGATGGATGGATGGATGGATGGATGGATGGATGGATGGATGGATGGATGGATGGATGGATGGATGGATAGATAGATAGATAGATAGATAGATAGATAGATAGATAGATAGATAGATTAGATTTATGCACCGGTGAAATGGTTGAATTAATTTAAATTTTAATCATGCCTATCACAGCACCAACGCTGACTGTTAAAAGGCGGCATGGCCCTTTAAAAAACGTGAGATGACACCGAAATGCGTGCGACACCGGGAGAACACCGGGACAGTGACGCAACCACGAAGGCTCAGGGGTGCTGACAGTCCCCCGGTAACAAGGTAAAACACGTATTCATTTCGCTTCAGTTTCATGACATGTTTATTTACGTGAGAGTGGGCGACAGCATCCTACAGAACAGGTGGGACGGTTTCCGTGGGTTTGTTATGATGAACCAGCCGTTCGCTTAGCCGGTTGCTAGGTACAGGTCAGCTGGTGAAGTAAGTTGCTATTTAAAGCTGACGGAAGGGTAGAAATACAACCCCCAGTGTCCTGTCGCGCTGGTCCGAGGCAATATATTTGAGCGTCTTATTATGTAAGTTAGTCTGCATGTTATAAAAAATGTCCAATCACTTCAAGTTTCGAATTCGCAGCGATGTTTACAAACCTGCTGTTTTTGGTGCATCACATTGTTTCGTCAATCGGGTCCGCACCATTTATGCTTTGACGTTCGTAGCAGCGCACGAGTAGGCGGTCCAGCGTATCCGCGCACTGACCGGAGCGACTATAACAACCCAGCCATCATGTAACAGCATACAACAACCTAAGAGATGGCATGTATCTCAGTGGCGCTGGTAACAACACACACAACAGGCTCTGACGGGTTTTTGTTAGAAAGGTGACATTTTCAGGAACTCCTCGTGCTCCGTTAAGCCTAAAAGGAGCGGACCCACAGATATGAACTAATCGAGTCTCCGCATTAAAGAAGGGACGTACTGTTCTGTTCTCCGGCCCGCCCCAAACTTGTGCCACTCCTTCGTCTTCCCGCTGGAGCAGATGTCAAACCAGAGTAATGTTACACAACCGGGCTGTGCTCCTAGATGCATGTTTACCACCAGAAAACAGACAGGTAGCCGCATTTGGAAAGCAGCTGTTCCTTTGACAACACTGGAGCATTCGGAGATGAGAGGGTCGGGCTCAACATGTGTTTGCCTTACAGAGAGGACAATGCTACGAACATGATCAGGGTCGATGGCATCTCAAAATGCGAGGGGACTCGGCATCAGACAGACAGGAGGAGACCACCTGCAGAGATGCTCCATCTGCTTTCAGCCATCATTGTTTGGCTGGTGACTGGCACCACCATCTCCAGCCTCAACAAGTGGATATTTGCAGTTTACAACTTCAGGTATCCCCTGCTGCTGTCAGCTCTCCACATGCTCACAGCCATAGTGGTGGACTATGGACTGATCAAACTTCGGGTGATCCACCACAGAGGAGCTGCTGAGCAGGACCTGACCGCCAGTGCCAAATGTAAGGTGTTCCTGTTGAGTCTGACTTTTTGTGCCAGTATCGCCTTTGGAAACATGGGTCTGAACTATGTCCAGCTGTCGTTCGCACAAATGATCTACACCACCACACCGCTCTTTACCCTTGCCATTTCGGCCCTGATCCTGGGCAAGCAGCATCACATCCTCAAATACACAGCCATGATGCCCATCTGCCTGGGAGCATCCTTCAGCATAATGGGAGAGGTCCAGTTCGACCAGACTGGCTGTTTTTTTGTGTTTGCAGCAACCCTGCTGCGGGGCGTCAAATCCATTCAGCAAAGTGAGTGCCACCGTTTTCTGTTCTCCTCATAATGAAGTATTTATACGGTTATTTTCCAGTGGAACTTTTTTTAAATGTGGTGATTCACTAGAGACTCGCCCTCCCATTAGTACCACAGCATATTTCCTGGTTGCCTAGGTAACACAACATAAACAACTGGCAATGAGCGGTGACTGGATGATCTGGTGTTTCTGTTTATGTTGGATTTTGATGGAAGGATTAAAGTTATTCAATGAGACTTCTAAACATTTGAGTCGTCATGGTTACGGCTATTCAGTTTTCACTCCTTTTTTTCTCCTGTGTTCCAGGTGGGGGAAATGGCCTGAACTGCAATAGCCTAAATTCCTAAATGAAAATGTATGAAAAACTTAACTGAATGTGCTCTAGTGTCTAGTCTGTGCTGCAACTGCATCCATTCAGTCAGTTTAAACTCAAGTTTATTAGAGCTTGTTGTCCTTAAATTGAAACCATACGGACCAACCGTTCTCTAATTACACTCAGAAGGTTCTAGGCTCGGAGTGAATCATGTACATGAATCACTTTAATGCTGCTTTCTCGCACCACAGAAGTAGTTTAATGTGCTCTAATGCCATTACTCTATAACAAAGTTGTCAGGAAAAGAAAATGGAAAAACTATTTAAATGTGACTCAGAAGCTGTAAACGCCCTTTATTCTTATTTTTGCAGAAAGACAAACAACTACAGCAACAGGTTAAGGCTATATGGTCACTACTTTTAACACCTTAGTGACGAAACACAGAAAACTACAGCATCTTGTCTGTTTGCTTCATCCTTTAAGGGTAAACAAGTGTTTATAAGAACATATAAGCACATTTGGATCAGGCTGTGAAAAACAAGGTTTATCAAATCAGGGCCACAACTTTGTCCTGAGATGTCATCTCAAGTTTCAAGTGGCTATTTTCATCCTCCTGCTTGTTGATGTTGTGTTTTTTTGTTTATGTTTTTTACACCTGACCCACTTTGGATTGAATAGATATTTTTGTTTAAAGGTAAAGATGAGTTGTAACTCCCTCCAAGTTGAAAACGGACACAAGGCGTTCTTGAATTTTGACTGGCATTTATTGCACACAGGTGCCACCAACGGTGCCGTGAGAACTCATTGGCCGCATTAACTTGCAGGGGTTAATAAAAAACACATCTTGCAGTGTCACTCCTTTCCGCAGCTGGAAAACGTCGTTGCATGCGTCTGCATAGCTCTACCAACGAATGATAGCGGTTAGCATGCTGCCGCCTATCAAGTGTGGCGTGCAACTGAAAATATTGTCAACCCCGAAACAACAAACTAAACATTGGTTCCACCCTGGAAATATTCTGTAAACCATTTAAATGCGCGCTTAACGTATACATTATTAAAAATAAAATATTCTTAGCTTATTTATCGTAACTTGAACCATAAATTATCTCAAAACTGCATGACTGTGGCTGACGGCAGCCACACTCCCACCAAATCACTGGTGATTTCCAACTGGACCTCATTACAAAGGGAAATAAGGAAAAGGCAAACAAAGGAAAATAAGCGTAGATAGACTCTTGGGCCAACATAAGGTACAAAGACAGGAGCTCTGAATTTATTCAGCTTCGAGTAAGGTAACTGTTTTGTGGATGGGTCTCTCAAGATACACTGGCTTGTTAACTCTTTTTCCTTGGTCATCCAATGCCGGATCACTGATTAGCAGCTCGAGTTTCCTAATGATTCCGTCCTCACTAGGGTACACCTTGGTTACCTTTGCCAACTTCCACTCATTTCTGGGTAGACTATTATCCATCAGCATCACAATGTCATTGGTTTTGGCATTTCTTTGTGGTTTGCACCATTTTCCTCGCTGCTGAAGATTCAGCAAGTATTCCTTTTTCCATCTGGTCCAAAATTCATTGGCCAAGTATTGCACCCTGCGCCATCTCTTTCGAAGATAAAGGTCTTCCTTCACAAACTCACCAGGTGGTGGTAAAACCACTGAAGACTTCATGGTCAGGATGTGATTTGGCGTAAGGGGCTGTGGACCAGTGGGATCATTCAACAGGTGAGTTGTTAAGGGCCTACTATTTATGATTGCCATGACTTCATAAAGGTAGGTACGCAAGGATGAAGTGTCAAGTCTTTGAGATGAATGATCAAGAATAGATGTCAAAACACTTCTAATCGTCCTGATCTGTCTTTCCCAGACCCCACCCATATGGCTGGCAGATGCTGGGTTCATGACAAATTCACAACCTATTTGTCTTAGGCTTTCTTGGTCCATTTTCTTTACAGACTCCAAAAACTCTCGTCTTGCTCCAACAAAGTTGGTGCCCTGATCTGACCGAAGTTGTCGAACATTTCCACGTATGGCTATAAAGGTTCGAAGAGCATTAATGAAGGCATCACTGGTCAAGTCGTCGAGAAGCTCTATATGCACAGCACGCGAGCACAGACATGTGAATAGCAGACCATAGCGTTTAAGTTCCTTTCTTCCTTCCTTAACGTAGAACGGGCCAAAGCAGTCCATTCCACAATAGGCAAAGGGGGGCGATGGTTCAACTCTTTCATGCGGTAAATCTGCCATTCTTTGCACTTCAGCATTCCTTCTGAATTTTCTGCATTTGACACACTTGTAGATGTAGGAAGACACTGCGTGACTACATCCCAATAGCCAAATGCCATTCGATCGTAGCTCATTCATAGTTATCCCACGTCCCTGGTGATGAACCCTTTGATGGAAGTGTTCAATCAGTAACCTTGATATGTGGGTTTTGCTCGGCAGGATCGCTGGATGTTTGATGTGTGGGTGTAAATCTGCATACTTCAGCCGACCTCCCACTCTTAACACACCCTTTTCATCCAAGAAGGGATTCAGTTTGTGCAATCTATTTGCACGATCTCCTTTTATTGTCTTCTTCGATTTCAAGTCTTTGATTTCTTCAGAAAACAGGTCGTTTTGGACAGCGGCTATGATGAAAAACTCTGCCTCTTTTCTCTCCTCAAGACTGGTGGCTTCGTTTGTTCTGTCTATCAGACCCTTGAGCTCTTTGACACATCGTATGAGTCGTGCAATGGCCTTAACTAGCCTTATCCAGTTTGAGAACCTTGAGAAATGATTGAGCAACGAATCTTCTGTGGTCAGTATCTTATGGACAAAAGTCTTACGAAGTTCTGGATCTTCAACTCCCAACTCTCCCACCTTAGTGTCATCAGTAGGAAGTTTATCTTGCCAGAGAAAATCTGGACCGGTGAACCAGTTGGAAGTAACTAGTCCCTTTGATGTCAGACCCCGTGATGCATGGTCAGCTGGATTGTTCTCAGAAGTCACATATCTCCATTGGTCCGAATTGGAGACTTCTTGGATACGCTGAATACGATTTGCCACAAATATGTGAAACCTTCTAGCATCGTTGTTTATGTATCCAAGAACAACCTTCGAATCTGTCCAGAAGAATTCCTTGGTTTGAACTTCCAACTCCCTTTTAAGCAGCTCACTCATTCGCACGGCAATGACTGCTGCTGACAGCTCAAGCCTGGGTACAGTGGTGACCTTTGTAGGAGTCACCCTGGCCTTGCCAATTACTAGAGAGCAGTGGACTTGGTTTGAGACACTGATTGCTCTCAAGTAAGAACATTCACCGTACCCCTTAACACTCGCATCTGAGAAATGATGCAGCTCATATCTTTCAACTTTCTCAAAACCTTCTGGAAGATAACAACGCTGAATTTTGATGTCAGCCAGGTTCCTTAAATCTGCCAGCCAAGACTCCCACCGTGGTTTAAGCTCTTCTGACAGTGGCTCATCCCATCCAACCTTGTCTTTACACATCTGTTGGAGTATTTGCTTTCCAACCAGAACAAATGGTGCCACAAGGCCAAGAGGGTCATAGATGGATGCTACAGTCGATAAGACTCCTCTTCTAGAAAGTGGGCGTTCTTCCACAATCACTCTGAAATGGAACTGGTCTGAAACAATACACCATTTGATGCCCAGAGCTCTCTCAATTCGAGACTCACCAAGAACCAAGTCTCGATTCCGTACTGAATCTGCTCGTTCGCTCTCTGGAATGGATGCAAGCACCTCATGATTGTTAGAAATGAACTTGTGAATTCGCAGTTTGCCAACACTGCAAAGTTGCCTTGCTTCCTTTACTAACTTGATGGCCTCATCCTTGGTTGAGACACTTGTGAGCCCATCGTCCACGTAAAAGTTTCGTTCAATGAACTGAATGGTTGTTTCACTATAGTGACCATGTCCTTGGGCGGCAACATGTTTCAAGCCAAAGTTTGCACAACCAGGGGAAGAGGCGGCTCCAAATAGGTGCACTCGCATGCGATAGACTGATGGTGGAGCCTGGAAGTTTCCACCGTCCCACCAGAGAAATCTCAAGTAATCCTGGTCCTCTGCTTTGACGTGAAACTGATGGAACATACGCTCTATATCACACATTATAGCAACTTGTCCCTTGCGAAAGCGGCAGAGAACCCCTATCAGGCTGTTCGTCAATTCTGGTCCAGTGAGAAGGTGATCATTTAATGACACGCCTTTGAATCTTGCTGAGCAGTCGAACACAACCCGTATTTTCTCTGGCTTGTGTGGGTGATACACCCCGTGATGAGGAATGTACCACACAGGACTGTTGTTAAGTTCTCCTATAGGGACCCTTTCTGCATCCCCATTTGTTATGATTTCACTCATAAAGGTCGTGTAGTCCCTTTGATATTGTTTGTCTCTTTCAAATCTTTCTTTCAAGCATCGAAGCCTGTGAACTGCACATGCCTTATTGTCTGGGAGGCTTGGTCGATCTTTCTTGAAGGGAAGTGGCATTTCACAGTGACCATCTGCTTTGACTTTGATTCCCTTTTCCATTATGGTTAGGAAACGCAAATCTTCTTGAGATAAATTAGCATCCTCTACTCTTTTCTCACTGAAGTCAGACTCAAGCATCCTCAGCACATCCGGTGGTGAAATGAACTCCTTAACTTGGGTTCGACATATGTATTTCACTTCATTTGTGAGCTTCTTAGACGTCTGTAGATGAGGTTTCACTGACTTCACGACAATCTTATGACTGCTTCCTATAGCATCACCATAGTCGACACAGGGGCTAACACAACCGACTATGCTCCAACCAAGATCTGTCCTTTGAGCAAATGGCTCATTATCATGGGCATGACTGTGGCTGACGGCAGCCACATGAGTCTTTCCATGAATAAACATGTGAATGTTTACAAAATATCTCAAGTGCCATTGTGCTAGTTCCTGCTAACGGTGATGTCTTTTTGACACCCAGCACTCTGGTGTGTGTTACCTCATACAGAAACGATCAGGTGTGTTATACAAACTTTCAAAATAAGCTGAAAGTTTTGCATAACTTCCTGTCATAACCCTGCCATCAAACCACCTGATGTCACCCATTTGAATGGCACCTGATTAGTTTGTTCCTATTCGTTTGAATATGAGACCTGCTGCTGGAGAGTGTTTGGAATTGGAAATATAGCATCAGAACAGTTTTTTTCCTCATTTGTTAATGTGTAAATAAGTAATAAGAATTTTACAGTGAAATCATCAAAAACGGTCTAATGACGCAATCATATCAGAAGGAAGGTTACAATCTCCTACATTCTCCTATGAAGTGCACTTAGAGGAAGTGTGCGGTACACAGGTATGCAAATAATTGCCGAATTGGGACAGGGAGCATTGCGTCATCGACCACAATGCATGCCGGGATGTTGGTTGCCGTGCTACTTTTTAAAAAAACATTTATTAACAACTTTCAAATAGTTATTTGAAATAACTTACATTCATTGCTGCTTAGTCTAAAGCTCAGATCACACTGTGCGTTTTGCCTTTTTAGCCAAATCCCTCGTCGGCAGCATAATGGTGTAAAAGATGGTGAACGTGAGAGTGATTTGCAAACCTGTGGTCATCCAGTCTGACCGGCTCTGCTGTCTTCTCAGCCGTCTCACGACCAAAGACGGCCTCTGACAGTCTACAAGCATGCTTGAAAACTTACGACTCCTGTCTGTAATCAACAAACGAAATACACCTTTGGGACGCCGCAGCAGCAAGACTCCGCCTCTCTGAGCTTCGGTTTCAATTTATGTTTAAAATGCGGATTATAAACTACACACCAGTTTTTATTTTTGTTATTAGCCCAAGTTAAACCGGAGTTATACTAAAATACTTAAACTACCTTTTTAGACCATCAACTAAATTGTGAAAACCTTGATTCTGAGATCTGTGAGAGCTTAGAGGAGATGTGCTCACGAACATAAAAATAAAACACAAAAACACGAGATCCCTTTGCTGTTGGTGAAAATGTCTCACATTAAGCCGATAAGGATGGTTCAGTAGCGTTTTGCTGCTGAGGGACAGAGGAAGCTCCGCCCAGTGACAGCAGGTGTGATGAGTGTGAGGAGTAAACAGTGAGACAGATATTGGAGCGATCTGTGACAGATCGTTACTTCTCTGTAGTTTAGTTGATTTTTTTATGTATAAAGGAGAAAGGTAAAGCAGACAGCTCGGCTGTTTGGCTGAAAGACGGTAAAAGGAGACCCGTAGCCGGAGTCTGATGGTTTTAAAAAAGATCCTTCCTCTTTGAGGAAGATGAGCTGGGTCATGAGCTGACACCGAGAAGAAGTGTTAACGGCAGCACTTTATTTTATCTTTTCAGCTTTGTTTTGGTTAGGTCTCCTTAGTGACGTATGCTGAGGTGCGCTCATGACGCAGCGTGTCCTGTTGAAGCGCGACGTTGTGCAGTCGGACTCCCAGAAATCTTGCGCCGTCCAGTGTGCCACCTTTCTGTAGTTCTCACAGTGCAAGCCTGTGCGAAGGCCGCAAATCGCACAGTGGGATACGGGCTTAAAACATTCAGGGCATCAATTAATCATCCTAAAATGAACTACTTTCATTTGAAAATACATATGTTCAGAAAAGGCACTTCTTCCAAGCCCACATTAATTGATTGATTGATTGATTGAAAATGCTGATTGATCCAGCCTTGGAAGAAGTGCAGGTCAAGGGTGCAAAAGGGGCGTGGTCAACTTCCACACTTGAGAATCGGGACACCGCTACACACTCCCACCCCTGGCCAGGATCGCGCATGTGTGAAAGTGCTAATGTTGGGATTGGGCCGTAATCACTTTTTACAATCTGTCCCGCCTCCATACTTCCTGGTTCCAAAGCCAGTCATATGTGAGCTTGTACGATTGTCAAGTCTGCACTGACATTTGTTATTTAACCCCGGCTGACAAAAATATTAGCATTGTGGTCAGAATGTTAGCCAGTTACAGGAGTGACTCAGAAGTTGTTTCTTGTATTCCTAAGAAGCCATGACATCTTTTTGTTCTAGATGTTTAAAGGCTAACATTGAGCTAACAATGAGCTAACAATGCTAACAGTGAATTAGAAGCAAATAGCCAGCTCTAAAATATCTAAAGCTATTTTTTCAAAAACAAAAACTTGTGAAATGTTTTATCTACTTATGGTAAATGGCCTGTATTTGTCTAGCACCCTCTTTGGGTTCTACAACCCCCCAAGGCGCTTCACAACACAGTCATTCACCCATTCACACGCTGGCAATGATGAGCTTCGATGTAGCTACAGCTGCTCTGGGGCTCACTGACGTGTGTATGATTCGTCTTCCCTCGCCATCTAGAATCTTCTGGTACTGAGCTGTAGCTGGCAACTGATGTTCAGAGCGGACTTGTTTGATACAGGGACTGCAGTACTCAAATTTGACCACATGATGTCACTATAAGTTGGTTGAGATTCTAATAAAAACACTTCATTATCTCTGTTAGTCTAGTATGACCAGTGTTGATTATAGTTTGACAAACTGGTTCTGAAATTTGCTCAAACTAGCATCACTTTTCTCCCAATCTCTATACAGGATGCTGAGCTATGGTTTACAGACCAAAACACTTCCATTTAGCCAACATATTGTAAATATAAGAAAGAGTTTTGGTAATTAAATGCACAGGTGGTGGTTGCATAACTGAGATGCTCAGACATGTAAAATTTAAAAGTCTATGCAGCTACGACTGCATATCAGCAGATTTCACTACAGAACATTTTGTTTTGTTTGTGTTTCATTATTTTTCCTAATTCCTCGGTGTTTGTGTTGCTTTGTTCCTGTCAGGCATTTTGCTCCAGGAGGAGAAGATCAACTCCGTGTTCCTGCTCTACCTGATGTCCATCCCCAGCTTCTGCATCTTGATGGTTGCCGCTCTGGCTTTAGAAAACTGGGCCCTGCTAGAGTCGCCGCTGCATTACGACCATCACCTGTGGGTCTTCATCCTGCTCAGCTGCCTGGGCTCGGTCATGTACAACCTGGCCAGCTGCTGCGTCCTCACGCTTACCTCGGCCGTCACTCTGCACATCCTCGGGAACCTGAACGTGGTGGGGAACCTGCTGCTGTCTCAGCTGCTGTTTGGCAGCGAGCTGTCCGCCCTCAGCTGCGCCGGGGCAGTGCTGACGCTGTCGGGGATGCTCATTTATCAGAACTCTGAGTTCATCGTCAGCTTCCTGGACGCTCGCAGGGCTAAAGCCGAAGCTTCTAAACTTTTGCAGTTTCACAGCCTGACTGGAGAGGATTTGGTTGAACAAACTCCTCGTCAGCTGAGAGTAGACAGGAAGCAGGAGGACAAAATAGACTAAAATAAAACAGGACTAAACCAATAAACACGCCTGATACACTGTACTTTCTGTTGTTTACTCTCTGTGTGAGTAAATAAAGAGAAACGGGAGTGTGACCTTACTGTAAATGTTCATTAGCATGGAGCTGATTCATTAGCACAGGATCAAACCTATAAAACACTCCTATCTAGCTGTTAGCGATTTATGCATGCACACACACACACACTGAACTGTTCTTTACCTGTTGAGGTATTTTCTTTCACACACACACACACACACACACACACACACACACACACACACACACACACACACACCCTACTCCACTGTGAAAAAAGGCTCTAAGCCAGGTTCAGGATTGTGGAAGATGTCTTCTGCAGTGACTTTAAAGTGATAGTTCACACCTGTCAGAATTTATAACCATTGTTGTAGAACTCTGAATAATCTCAGGACTGAAAAGTAGAGCTCACGTTTGACTGGATAGATGAGCTAACCAAACAGAGCCTAGATCTGAGCGATCCTCTGAGGCAGGTCGGGGGCTTAGAGAAGCACTTTGTCCAGAGTTTGAATTGTTTGTATTAAGAAGGTTTATTTATGAAACTGTTACTTGATGTTCTCCTGGCCACGCTAGGGTAAGGGACCGGGCTTTATGGCAGCTGTTTTTCTTTTGTTGTTGATGTTTGAAGCATCAAAATTTTGCCTGATGTTGGACTAAAATTTAGCTTTTCTAACTCTGAGGTTCTTCTGACTTAAGCAAACTTTCCAGGCAAAGAGATGCTCCTTCTCCTACTGAAGCACACTTCTCTGAGCTGAACACTTTCCTGTGATTTCACTCTGGAGACATAGATTTTGTTCTCACACCAACCTGAACAACCCATCTCAGCAGAGTTAGTCCAATTCTGCCTTTTAGAACAGAACGCTCTTTTCCTCGCAGCCTAGCTTCATAATTAGCATCACTAGTCCTCTAAGGAGTGTCACTCAACTTTGGCTATTTTTGGAAGAGATAAAGAAGGGTGTTGATCTCTCCTTTGTAGCCTGAAATGTTTTTGTGCCACTAAGAATTATTTTTAGGCTGGAAAATGTTTTTGGTTTTGTGCAAAATAGAAATGTATGCATTAGTGTATTTATTTTATTATGACCGAAGGAATTGTTGGCTTTTAGTGCTGTTTTTGCCCTCGAGCCACCTGGAGCTAGGTACCTGTTATTTTTATCAGCGCCATTCTCTCGTACTGCTAAGATGAAACACAACATCTGATCCTGAAAGAAAATTATGTTTGACACATTTTTGTGTTGCTAGCCTCAGTTCCCATGTGATCACTTAAAAAAACATTGTTCTCTTCCCCTGACTCCTATGTATTTATTTTATTGTATTATTTTTTTAATTTTGCCAAAAGAAAATATACATCTATATTTCAAATGTGCTGTTTTTATATAGTGAATATATCCCAAGTTTTTATTTTCAAAATTTTAAAATCTTTTGAAGATAAAAGTGCATCACAACCAGATTAAAATTTGCAATCACGGCACATTTTCCCTGGTTTGACATACTTGGACATGTATAAGCAAGCAGCTCTCCCACGGTAAAGCTTCATTTAAAAGATTATTTCAGCAAAGAATCAGATCAGGTTAAATATCAGGAAAAAAAAGACCTATTTGCACATGTTGATTGGATTTGGCAGGTTTGGCTGCTGCTCTGTCATTTTCTATGTACATTATTTTGTTAGGGAGATTTAACTGGCGGTGCAGACGCTGCCTTCACAAGCCCACCGTTCTTTTGTGCATTCTGAGTTTGATATTTTGCCATGCTTGTTTGAATCTAAATTGTTATTTTAATATATATTTAAGTACTTTGTTGTCATGTGTGGCTGGTCTAAACTACACTGGTTTAAGAATGAAACATTTGCCTCATTGCCTTATTTGGACTTCCTGTAGATGAGAAAGGAGTGAACAAATAAAAAAGATGACTCAGATTATCTTCACACAACCTGCAAAATTACAGTAAGATGATATATATATATATATATATATATGTATATATATATATATATATATATATGTATAAATATGTATGTATATATATATGTATGTATATATATATGTATGTATAAATATATATGCATATATATACATATATATAAGTATGTATATACATATATGTATGTATATATACATGCATATATACATGCATACATATATATATATATATATATATTCATACATATATATACATATATGTATGTATATATACATGCATATATGTATATACATACATATATATATATATATGTATACATATATATATACATATATGTGTATGTATGTATATATACATATATATGTATATACGTAAATATATATATGTATATACATATACATATATATATATATATATACATATACATAGATCCTTAAATAAACACTTGCATATCTCTTTTCAGAGTCAGAGGACTCCAAAGCTCTTTACACAGTGTATCATTTATCCATTCACACACATATTCACACACTGGCAGCCACGCTGACAGAGGCGAGGCTCACAACAATGCAATTTACAATATATACGAATGTTTGCTAAACATCCTGTATATTGTTATCTAAATGATCAGATTATAGTAGAACGATAAAGCCTCTCAAAATCTATTCTGACCCAAACCAGCACGTCAACTCATAAGCACAGCAAATCCCACTGCTGAGTTCTTGTGATTTTAAGGAGTAGATGATGCAACAGAGTGAAAAACATGCACATTTTGTAAAGTTTAGACATTTAGTTTAATACAGAACAACATTTGAAAAATGACAAAAGAAAGAATTTTAAGTATTCTGGAGGGAAAATGACAATATTTTCCAAAACATTTGAAATTTCTCTCTCGAAATAAATCTCATTTGAATAAAATCACGAGTGCAAAAAATGTGAATAAAGTTGGCTGAGTCACATTTAGCTGCTATAATCTCAAAATCATGATGCACGTTTTTGGCTCACTCTTATAGATTTATGGGACACCTTAACATCATGTAATCTGTTTTAACACACAAGCCTTTCCTGCTAAATGTAATTCAAATTGAATGACAGAAGCCCAAGTTGTTTAAAGCAGTTAATAGTTTCCACCACTAAATGGAGCCATTGCTACATTTTCTGCATGATTTCTAAACCTTTTTTATTATGAGTCATAACTTTTTTACATTAAATAATCCCAACTGGACTAAAAATCTGTTTTATTAATGTTTCCTTCCAGATGATTATGTTTGAATTAGACTCTGGCTTTGTACTCCGCTCTTCCTTTTAAAGATTCCTCCTTCTTCTGTAAACAAAGTTTCTGTTCAGCCTTTTGCCTGAATAAGGCAGTGCTCCTCTCTTTAACCCTTTGTTCCCCACTCTGCTGATTATTTGGCTGCCCTCTGTAGGCAAAATGTAAGAAAGAAAGTTTTTCAGATTGATTTCCTGAGACATCTTGACATGACACCACCCAGGACCCAGTGAGGACACTTCTGGAGGTGATAGGGATGGATGGATGGATGGATGGTGACCTGATGTGTTTGGTCTTCCTCCTCCCTTCACTTCATCCCTTTTTGGGTGGTCCATATAAGCAGTCTCCACTCTCTCTCTCTCCAAACATGCATCCTTATGAAGCGGTGTGATGTCAGAGCTTGAAAAGCTGTGAAACAGAAGAACTGATTTCCAAACCTTTAAAAAAGACATATGAGTTTGAATGCTAGCAGGTGAGTCACATCATACTTTAAATTCAAAATTGATCATGTCATCACTTTGTTTTTCTCGCTTTTTTTCACACCAGGCAAATTATATCTGCTCAGAGTCTCAGCTCATAGTTGTACTTGGTTATCAGATTCCTTTAGAACTAGGCCACTTCCATTATTTTACTATATTTGTAAGTGTTTATCCGTCTTTTCTAAAGCCGGCCAGCTGCTCAAATACTTTCACGCATTCTTCAGTTGGATAAACGTTTAAATATGCACAAAATCACAGCTGTAAATATTTCAGAAACTTACCAAGTTAGAAATAAAATGACATTTTCTGTTGTTTTTTATTTTATTTTTAAAACTATCAGTGGATTTAACCAGATTTACTCTTCAGACATGGAGTCAAAACCTGGCGGTGAACTGACCGGAGAGAAACTGGCTTCTATTGAGGATGAAGAAGTTCTGAACAAGATGGTGAGGCACATAAAAGGGACTCAGAAGGATGTTTTGCCTCTCCCTTATATTTCTCAAATTAAGCTTTTCTCCTCATCCCTTGAAGCAGAATTCAACAATTTTGACGACCAAAAATTCTCCTTACTAAATTTGTTTCCTCTTCAGTTGGACGGTGCATCTGATTTTGAAGAGAGGCGGATGATTCGAGCAGCATTAAGAAACCTGCTCAAGAAGAAAAGAGGTAAAATCACAGCTAGAGACTGTTTTATAGGATTATTACTCAGTTTCATCTGAATTCTCCTCATCTGTCAGATAAGAGGGAGGAGGAGCGAGGAATGAGACAACAGGACCTGAAACAGCAGGTTCTGAGTAAGGGTGGGCCACCAACAGCGGGGAAAGCATCTCTGAACCTACAGACATCAACTAACAGTATGTCGGATTCTTGTTTCCTGGTTGTTTAATTTCCGTAAACTTAATTATTGTCATGTTCTCAGAGCCAGCAGGTCAGCCATCCTCCTCCACTCTTGTCCACAGGATAACAGGACGGTGAGTTGATGTTTTGTTCATTTTAAAAGCCTATGCAACTCTTTCATATTTTAAAATCCTTTTCTTGAGCCAGTATGTGCTAAAACGACCCTTTACAGGGTTAATGAAATGTCATTCAGACCCTTGCCGTCTCATGGCCAGAATACCGCATTTGCAACTTGGTGTGGCCTGTAGACACTGAGGAAGGCTGGGGAGATGTTTCAGCTGTTAAATTAAGGTGTTAAAAAGACAAACGCACATCGAGGAGATAGGTTTCATTTTCAGTTTGACCACAGATAATAATAACCTGCACTAGGGGGTGCTAAAAGCAAGCAAAACTGCCAAGTGTACCTTTAAAGGTGACATAATTAGCTAAATTCACATTTTCATTCCTTTTGTGCTGTCATGTGGGTCTCTACTACCTCCATAAATGCTCCAAAAGTAAAATAAAATCCATCCAAGCATTTTAAGATGTTTGCTTTTAGGAATTATAATGCTGTTTCAAACAGTCCCCGTTTGTGATGTCACAATCAGGAAAAATCAGCACCTGTTCACCTGGAAGAGAACAGGTACTACAGGCTACTAGAGGAGCAGCAGCTCTACTCCAAGCCCCTCCCAGAAATCAAATCTTCTCAGTTTATAGCGGCCTGAGCGAGGGATGTGTGGGCGTGGCCAACTCCAGCTTGTTTTCTTAAAGCGATGGAGCCCTGAAATGGCTCATTTTGGAAAGTACTGAAAATGTCAAGAATAAAACTGCTGAAATTTGAGAGGGACATGCTGCAAAGATCTTCATGAACATGTTTTGTATCAACCACAGAACTATTTCAACTTAAGAAAAGCGTCATAATATGACCAATTTATGGAAGTTTCGCAAGTTATTTGTGATAAATGTTATTTGGGCTTGTTTTTTTAGATGACGACATCACTGATGCATGTTTATGTCTCCTCTCCTCTGCAGAGCCGCTCCTGCTGCATCATTTCCCCAGAAAAGTTCCTCTGCTGAAGCACCTAATGTTAAAAACGTCAAACAAATGCTTCTGGACTGGTGCAGGGCCAAAACAGAGCCATATGAGGTCAAAATCTCCCAGCTGGCTTTGTCTGTGTTTTATCGTCCTGCTGATTTACTCACAGCTCTGTCTCTGATGCCTGAACTTCTTTAAACAGGGGGTGGACATCCAGAACTTCTCCTCCAGTTGGAAAGACGGCATTGCGTTCTGTGCCTTGGTGCATCGATTCTTCCCTGATGCATTTGAATACTCCACCCTGAACCCAAACAAGCCCAGGGACAACTTCCAGCTGGCTTTCGGCGCTGCTGAGTGAGCTCTCACTAGAACCGTGACACATTCTCTGAGCCCTTTTTTTTGTCTCAAGTTGTTTTTATTGACATCCTGTCTGCAGGAGGCTGGCAGGCTGCCCTCCTTTGTTGGATGCTGATGACTTGGTCCGAATGAAGGAACCTGACTGGAAGTGTGTGTACACATACATCCAGGAGTTTTACCGCTGCCTGGTGGAGAAAGGCCTCGTCAAAACCAAAAAGCGTTAGTAGTTTTTGGAAATCAGAGACCAGCTGGGATTAAAATCTTTAAATACTGCGTCGATGTGATGTCCAAAATTTGCCTTTTAAGTTTTGTCAGCTAAATCTTTAGATCTACCGCTAGTATAAATTCACTGTAATTATCGGCTGAGGATAACTCAGTGGACATCTGGTGCTCGGGACCGCTTCAGTCCTCTGAGATTACAGATCTGTATTAATCCCACACTGAATCTGAGCATGACCTTCATGATGATGCTGTTCAGAGCTGAAATGTCATTTTATTAAACTTGTTCTGTAACAAAAGGCTCAGCTGGCTCATCATATAGTAACAGCGTTTCACAAACCCAATTTTACGTTTAGTGTTCAGAGAGAATTAAAAGGATAGTTAGCAGCCAGATGGCGTTCATCAAATACATCGATTAGTTGATCACTGATGAGCAGAACAGTGTTTAATTGGGTTGTTATTAAGGGAAGACATTAGAAATGATCTTCCATTAACATCTGCTGCTACTCATCAGTCTCAGACGTGTTTAAGATCATAACATTTAGTGTCTATCATTCTGATTATTATTCTGTAAAAGGTTCAAAAGTTCATCCAACCAATATTGTGTATTAGATCCTTTCACCGTGGTGCGTACTGAGGTTTTATGTTATTAATTTGACTTTAAACATAATTATTAGTATTATATAAAATGATTGTAATCATGACAATTTAAAGGCCCAATTGAGACTGAAAGTCAGATGATTTATTACCATATCCACACAAAGGTCATTGCTGAATGCTAAATTTACCTAACCAAGTTATGGCAACTGGATCCACTAAACCTAGTTTTTTTATTTTATTTAAAGTGCACATTTACTTTTAACATAACAATATAATTTACATGTTTTGGTTAAGAAACTGAATGGTAATAGTTGACATAACTAGGCTAAGTAAATTCATCATTCCATTTTTACAGTGTACCTGTTTAACTCATAATTACACTATGGTTTGATTCTCACGACAAATAGAATAATGACTTTATACTTTGAAAGCCAAAATTATATTTTTAATTATGACTTTTAAAGTCAAAAGTTTGTAAAACAGAACATTCATCTTTGTACCCTGACTTTAATAAATACGGCACAGCAAAAGTTTTTCATTTTCAAGAAATTAGCTTCCATTGAATCTCTAATTAATTAATTAATTAATTAATTAATATTAATTTAGGGTAACAGATTTATTATTGTTGTTGTTGTTGTCAGTTCAATTTAATGTACTGAAGTCGCCCTATAAAAAGATGAAATGATTAGTGTTGCCAAAGTGAAATGTAATTGGCTATTGATCTGATGATCAATTCCTCTTGTCAGTGACGCAATCCTGCCGAACAGATGCGTCACTCGATGCGCTTTTATTTCTGTCCGGTTGTACTCTGGCAGCTGACTTTGATTTCTCTTCCACTGCTGCCGTACACCCCCAGCCCCGGATGGTTTCATCCGTGAAGGGAGGAGGGGAGGCGGAGAGGAGTTGGGTCGGTGGTGTACCGGAGGTGCGGGCGGGACGCTGCCTGCTGCTCCAAGCAACTGCGCTGCGCACACACACAGCGCCACAATGAGCGGCGTCACTGGCAGTCATGCTATAACACAAACATCAACATGCAGGTGCGCGTGACGCGTGTTGGCAGTGGGTCCTGACGGAGCGGAGGACGGAGCGGGACCGCACCTTGACGAGACGTCCATGTTACCGAGGGGTCCGTCCTGCTGCAGGCTGTCTCCGGTCCAATCCATCGATCTCGCCTGTTGGGGGTAGTCTAGTGGCTTTTGACTTGTGTGGCTTTTGACGTGTGTGTGTGTGTGTGTGTGTGTGTGTGTGTGTGTGTGTGTGTGTGTGTGTGTGTGTGTGTGTGTGTGTGTGTGTGTGTGTGTGTTATGAAGGGGAAAAAAGATGAGTAATTATCTTTTGTGAGTTGATATCACCGGTGCTGTTCACCAAGACCCACAAAAGGTAAGACATTTAATTAGATGCTGCTTTCTTGTGCTTTTAAAAATATACATTTATTTGATTTTTTTTATGTGTCTTAGATTTGCTAACTCCTAGACTGAATAGAGACCCACTTTCTATTCAAGTAAACACCGTAATCCATTCTGCAGCTTGTGTTTAGCTGGGTTTCTCTGACAGAAAGGCACTTTTCCACTCTGTAAATTATTAAAAGAGAGGTGTTTGATTTCTGTGTGGGGCAGCCAGGAAGCAAAATGGAGGCCACTGTCGAGTGTCCTCCTTTAATGCAATCCACCTTCTCTCTTTGTGACCTGCAGAGATGGTTTGATGTGCAGCTGTGTCCCATCCATGGCTGAAAGGCTCCTCCAATGGGATCTTGGTTTAGTGACAGGGTCAGGGGGTTATTAATGTTGCACGGCTACTTTTATGTAATCCAGGGCATAAACCTAAAGCTATCTCCTGATTATATCAATAAGTGACACCTGGGAGGAGGGTCTATGTGTTATGTGATGCTACAAAGCAGACAATTGAGGAATGGGTGCTTTATGCTGGCTGCATCACTTTTTAGCAGTACTAATAAAAATGTGTGTTCCAGTTCATGCAGGTGGATGGATCACCTGCCAGGGAAAGGAATTCTCCCAGACCCTTGTGGTCCTGATGCAAAGCCCAGACCCAGTGCATTCAGTGGAGCGAGCCCAGCTTTGCAGGAGCCACCTCTCCTCGGCTCATCTGTGACACTCCGGACTCCAAGCCCCACACAGGCTCCTATTAAAGCAACAGCTCCGATGCAATCAGAGCAGACAACACCAGCGAGCATAAGCCGGCCCAGACCGACTGCTCTTGGGACTAAAGCTGCTTCAAAACAGACTAAAGCCTCACTGGAATCTTCCAAGGAAATAGACTTGATTCCTGTTTGCATCCCGGGTCCTCAGAGTGCCAACGTCATCCCGCATTCCTCCTCAGAGCCTTCGTTTCCTAACAGCAATCCCCCAGGTCCTCAACTTTACCTGAACCCCGCTCCCAGCATTCTTCGTTCCAGTCCTAACCTGACCCCGAGTCTCAGCCCCAAACCCAGCTCCGGACTTCAGCCACAGGACGCTCCGTCACCCAGGAGCTCGATGCAGATTCAGTCTGAGAGGCCAGGAGGAGAGCACGACTTCAGGTGAGACAAGTAACTGTCTCCTGTTTTATTATTTAGGCTGAGTCATTTCCACAGAGAGTTTGTTTCTCCTGAATGTTGGAGCAGCAGGGTGCAGACCTGATGCATGTCCAAACATGTCACATAAATCACAGACACTAATTTCTCTAAAAGGTTTCGGAAATTTGATGAAAACGTTCCCAGAGGTGCTTTTTTGTGTTCCTCTTTCATAAACAAAGTATTCTTGTAAAAACTCAATTTATAGTTTAGGAGGCAAGTTTATATGAGCCATAAATAGCACATAGAAGCACATCCCATCACACTTTTGTTATATTAAGTGTATTATTATACAGTTTTATCAATTTATTTTGTCATGAATAGAGTCGTTCATCGTTGTGAGGTTCGGTGGAAATTTAAAGTGACTATGTATTTTCCCTGGAGACAGGGGGTAGTGCATCCCTAAATCATTGCAAGCATGCTGTATTTTGTGTTCGAGTAACACCTTTCCAACGGATGCCCAGTAGGGTCAAAAATCCCTGGTAGTGCAACCTCCAGCTAAATGACAAGCACATCAGACTCCCCTTTCATCACTGGCAACAAGCAAAAAGGTAAATGTGTAAAACAACAATTTTTATGAATGGTGAAAGTTTTGTAACCGCTTGTAACAAATCAGTAAATGTGTTTAGTCCTCACAGGCTCCCGTAGAAGAAAACATGTCATCTAATATGGTTTCGTCAGGCAAATCTTAAACAAAAGGAGACACTGAACAGGATAGTAAAGTGGTCGGGTCGCCTGCTTGGAAAACAAGTGAAAAGTGTGGCACAACTGTACAGTGGGCAGGTAGACAGAATTGCCAACGCTATTGTTAGGGACACGGGCCACCCACTGCATGCCCAGTTTGCCCTCCTGCCATCAGGACGGAGATTTATTGTGCCTAAGTGCAGGACCAAGAGGTATAAAAGGAGCTTTATTCCTGAGGCAGTAACACTTCTCAATAAGAAATGAGTCTAGCGTGGCTACTTTACTTGATTTTATCTCTATTTATTCGTGGAGTGTTTTTATACTTTTTGTATTTTTATGGGTGTGTGTATATTTTGTGAGTGTGTGTGTAACTGGGCGCTAATTCTCATGTCACATGGCAAATCAAATTTACCTTTGGGTACTAATAAAGTTACCTTGACCTTGAATATGGCGTCGCCCAGAGACAGAACCACTCCCATGCATTTTAGACCAGATTTTAATGGTTATATGTTACAAAGCCGCCAGTATTTTTCAACAACTGGGCATCATTTCATTCATTTTCAGCAACATTTTGATAGATGTTTCCAGAGATTAATTGTAAAAACTACATATTGTGTCTTTAAGACGGATGTTTTCATTCAAAATAATACAAATTTAAAAAATGTTTTTGATTTTTTTTAAGATGAAACAGTGCTAAATGGCTAATAGTTCTAAATCTATTTCTTATAGGGGACAAAGAATGCAGTTTATGAGCAATCTGAAACACTGCTTTGAATCTCTAAGAAGCAAAAGAAATTTTCTTTTGGCTTTCATCTGTCCCAGGAGCCCTGATACAGGCTATTCTAAACCCTCTACCCTCCCACTTGGCCAGGACATGAATATGCTAATGAGCTGCTTGCTGATTGGTTGGTTTAAACCAGAAGGCCTAAGACACTGGAGACAGTGGATTGGAGGAGGAAGGGCTCCACATTATGATGTTTTAATAAAAGGTTTCTTAGAAAAGAAGTTTTTGTCTGGCATTTTTAAACTTTCTAATTTGTGTAAAAAGTAGGTCACACATGGCTTTGACTTTCTGGCATGCTACTTTTGACCACCCAAGCTGTCTTTATTCACAAACAACAGGAAAATGATGGTTTAGATTCTTTGTCCCCTTTAAAGTTAAGCCTGATTCATGCGTCTGCGTCAGTCCGGAGACACGCAACGCCATTATCCGTCCTTGCGGGCCTGCTGGAGAGCCCCGCAAGGACGTACGGAGTCGAGCTCTCTTTTCTAAACATCCATCCGTCGAGACCATCGATGTATAAATATTGGACAATGGGTTTACATAGGCTCCAATAACACGTTTTTGTGCCAAAATGAGAGGTTCCCACCACCACCATTTTGACTGTGTCACAGGTTCCGTCAAGCCCAGACAATTCCACAAAAGGGAAGAGAGGTGGAGCTGAGGGTGTGGCTGTAAGGCTGGGATCAACTGACGACACCCGGTCAAGCTAACCTGCAGCTAACCCAAAGTTAGGGCGGAGGTGAGAGCTAAGCTAACGGAGGTAGCAACCTAGCTACAACCGGAGTTAACTGTGCACAACACCAGAGCTTCTGAGTCAGAGATACGCCGGGCTGACCGCTGGGTAAAACCGGGTGGAACACAGAGGTCTCCCGAAAGCTGCTGAAAGCCGGCAGCCCGCGCAGCAGACAGAAGCCGCGATCAGACAGAGATGCGCCAAGCTGCGGGGAGGGGAGAAACGGGTGGAAAACATCGGTTTCCCGAGAGCTCCACAAGCCGATAGTCGGAACCCAGCTCCACCAACATGTTATATTTCAACCCATTTTCTAAAGTGCAGCATTATGTTAAATGCACTGGGTTTTACCCTATTACATTTAAATGTCATGGTTAAACAGTACATGTTAAAATCTAAGCTCAGCTCGGCAGTGACCTAAAATACATAAATATAATTTTACTTACCGAAAAAAATGAAGTGGAGACTCTTGGACTCTCTATTAGTGCAATTAATGCCACAGCAAGTCATTTTGTCCAACAATTGCACAAATAATATCCAAAAAAGAATACACAAACACAGAGACTCAAAATCCCGGAACAGTTTCCAGGCCAGACTGAGGCTCTACTGAGGCTCTTCCACGGAGCTAGCTCTGTGGTCACGTGGGTCTGATGCTCATTAATTATACAGAATTTTAGGCTTTTAATACATTTAAACAGAAGAGTGAGAAAAAAATTCACCTCAGAGTTGTCATGAGTGTAAACTAGATAATTTAAACCAAAAACCTGTTTTGGTACCAGGCTGTAAACATGTTTATTTCTGCTGTGAAATTGATATTTTTAACATGGGAGTCAATGAGGATTTGCTCGCTTCTGACACCAGCCCCCAGCGGATGAGGGTGGAACTGCAATTTTTGGTACTTCCGGGTTGGCCTCAATTTTTGAGCCGCATTGTGAGGGCTTGGTCGAGACGGAGAACGCAAGCTTGTGATTGGTCAGGACACCGCTGTCGTCTACACCGCCGCCATTGCGCCCTCAAAAACATAAAGAGAGCAGAGAATAACCAGCGGCAGACACGGAGAAGCTTGAAGAATACCTCACGAAAAAACTCTAAAAATATGAACATTTAATTCCCCCGTGACTGGAGGAGTGAAAAGATGCGCAGCAGGCGTTTTATTTGTGGACAAAATGACAGGAAACCTGGGTTTAGAGGTGGCGAGGTGGAGGAGAATGAGAGACAAATTTGTCCTTGTTAAAAAGTCTCTTATATACAAAAAACCACAATATAAACACACTGTCTTGGACCGGATACATGACAGGATACCATAGAACAGCGTTACGCCCTCTGTTGTCCTGGCGGGGAATTGCTTTGCAACACTCCCCCGGAGACAGAGAAGTATGAGAGCAAAATGTCTCCGTGCGTGCGTGTCTCTCCCTGTTGGAGCTGTTGGAGAAGCATGAATCAGGCTTAACACAGAACAGCTTTCTGCTCCTCCACCCTAATGGTTGGAAGTGGAATTACAACCATCGTAAACAACCCTGCTGCAACCTCCTGTAGCTAGCGCTAACAATGAGCTAACACTAATATGAGCCAACTAAAACTAAAATAAACCACAAAGTAGAAATATCCACACTGTTGGACAAAAAATATTATTACTTACAAGTCCAGTAACAGCAAAGCCAGGTCACCATCAGTCTGTGATTTTGTAGCCTCCTTTAGCGCCCTCAAACTAGTGTAGGTGTCAATGTTTACTCTGGATTTAGCCCTTGCTTCACCTCCAAAGACATTACTCTCTTATTTTTACTTCCATGATGCCAACAAAAAAAGCAAACTTCTTTTTTTGTTCTTCCTGTGCTTTTTTTTTTTTTTTGACGATCGGCTAACTGAAACAGATAACTGCTAACATAATAGCTAACAGCCATTAAGCAGGTAAAGAGCACCCCCAGGACACCTACCATCTCCACAAAACTATCAAGTGCGGGTTTTGGTCAGTACAGGGCTGCAGAGTGGTGTTAAATATGAAACTGGTTAAGTTTCTAACTCAACAATCACTGAGATTAATTATAAACACTAATGCAAACAGTAAAGTTAAATTAAACTAATTGTTCTTTTTTAAATGAGTGGGATAACCTTTAAATGACATTTGAAAGTTAAGTGTGATTTTAGTCAGCTATTAGTTCCTTTTTAAAAAAGATATTTGGCTCAATTTATTTTTGATTCTGCTAAAATCCCCCACAAACCTAAATAGTTTCTGCATTTTAACATAGACATTTAGGTTTATCACTCACAGCCTGCACACACACACACGCGCGCACACACACACACACACACACACACACACACACACACACACACACACACACAACTTAGTCATCAGGTCCACTCAGGTGCTTAATTGTGTTTTTTCCTGTAAACAGAATCCCTGATGGGAGCTTTGTGTCCCTGCGGATTACAGACTGGATTATGACCCTTTTTCTAACCTACACCACAGAACCTAAGTCTAATGCAGCCTTTCCTCCATTTTTGCCCTTTTGTCAGAGTGAGCATCGTCACATGGAACGTGGGATCAGCTGTCCCACCAGATGACATCACGTCTCTGTTTGGACCAAATGTTTTGGACGGGAGCATCGACATGTTCGTCATCGGGTAAGCAAGTGTTCCTGCTCGTCTCAGCAGAGCCAAAGAGACAGCCGTGCGTGCCCACTCTGTCATCTGTCAGCACACACACACACACACACACACACACACACACACACACACACACACACACACACACACACACACACACACACACACACACACACACACACACACACACACACACACACACACACACCAGCTGTCGCTGTTCTTTTTAAAATGTTTTTTTAAAGTTTGTTTATGAGTTGTAAGTAACGTCTCTGCTCTCTGTTACAATCAAGACTCCAGGAGGTCAACTCCATGATAAACAAGAGACTGAAGGATGCTCTTTTTTCAGACCAGTGGAGCGAGCTGTGCATGGACACGCTCAGTCCGTATGGATATGTTTTAGTAAGCGCATCCATTGTTTTTTTTTTAATGCATTTATAAAACACAAATTTTCTGATACATTATTTTTTCATCCTATTTATTTAGGTGGCATCTCAGCGCATGCAAGGAGTCCTGCTCATGGTTTTCTCTAAGTTCAGCCATCTCCCATTCCTCAGAGACGTGCAGACTCAGAGAACACGAACGGGACTGGGAGGTTACTGGGTACGTACCACACTCAGTAGGGTTTACAGAGGTAATGTGCCCACCTCCCTGCAGGCAGGTACAAGACTACGTAGCTGTATGTGTGTGTGTCGGTGTGTGACCTTCCAGTGTGTGTTGATGTCAGCATCACCCCCTGGCTGCTGCTGGTGCAGTCTCCTTCTCTTTGAGGTCAGTGCAGCAGCAGGCTGTCTGGTTCTGCTGCTTTAATAACATTAAAAAGAGGAACACAGATTTAGTCAATGCACTCAGGTTGTTCTTTATTTACTCTATACGAAAGATTAATTTATCACCTTACTTTTCGTCCTTTAGGGGAATAAAGGCGGCGTTAGCGTGAGAATGACGATGTTTGGCCACCCCGTGTGCTTTCTGAACTGTCACCTTCCGGCTCATATGAGGAACTTGGAGCAGCGGATGGAGGATTTTGAAAGCATCCTTCAGCAGCAGCAGTTTGAAGGAGGAACGGCCACTGGTGTGCTGGACCATGAGTGGGTGATTTCACTCCTACAGACGAATCTACTTGAATAATGTCTTCATCCTAGAAATAATTCTGTCAATAATAATTCAATTATAAAGACATTTGGTCTGAAACAATCTGAGCTCTAATTGCTAAAAGAAATTGAAATAAATTTCATAAAATTAAACTAAAAGGCATCTTTATTTTATCTTTAGCAGACTAATATTTTTGTGAACTCAGTTTATTTGCTTTCCAGTTGAATCATTAAAGTGTTTTGGCAGAAATGCACCACTTTAGATTTTGCAGGCTGATACTGATTTCCCACACAGTTCCAACCTGCCGATACCAATTTTGGCTGATTTCAGGTCATCTCAAGTTAATGTAGTTAACAGAATTCTTCTTTTTTCCCATTTCTGATCAACTTGAAAATCATGCTTTTGGAAGTAAAAATTCCCATTTAGATCTGTTAATGCTTGTGTAAACTTGCACTCAGCCACAGAAGGTTTATGGACCAGGATTAATGCCAGATTTGTTGTGTTCATATGCTGAAATAAATCTTGTTTTTAAGTTTTGGTATTCGCCTATTCTGATCACCAACAGCCAATTTTAGCTGCGTTTTTTAAGTTTTGATCCAAACACACTTGATCTACTGAGCTAAAAATATGAAATGTGTGTTAATTTCATTTACAACAATTCCAATTAATCAATATCTGAGAACCAAAATGCTCTCATAACTAATATATCAAACAGTACCTGAAGACTTTTTCTGACAGCAGCCTTTTCCATTTCTGTTGTCTTTTCAGCGTAATTTTTTGGTTTGGGGATTTAAATTTCCGTATCGAGGACTATGACATCCACGTGGTGAAATGTGCCATTGACAGTAATAAGTTGCCTCTTCTGTGGGAGCGAGATCAGGTGAGGCACTTTTGTTTGTTTTAAACAGAGAAATGGATTTTTCTAGGAGGCATTTGTTGCTCGTCAACCACAGCCGACAGAGGGCGCTGTAGTTCAACCTAAACTCCCTTTTAAGAGCCTTTGTCTGATTACTGCACAGCTCAACTTGGCCAAAAACACAGAGTCCATCCTGGAGGGCTTCATGGAGGGGCCCCTCAACTTTCCTCCCACCTATAAGTTCGATGTGGGGACTCACACCTACGACACCAGGTTGGCCTCCACCAAAAACTCTCTGATGATGGTTATTTTTAGCTCTGGCTCACTCTTTCTGTTTCTCATCTGTCAGTTCAAAGAAGAGGAAACCTGCATGGACAGACCGCATTCTCTGGCGCCTTCGCCGCACTGGTTCCCCAGTTCCTACCCACAATGCATCACTGCAGCGAGGTCTGACCTCCTGGCTGGGTGGGGCGACTAAAGTGATACAACATAGGTACCAAAGTCACATGGGCTTCACCATCAGCGACCACAAGCCGGTTTCTGCCCTGTTTTCTCTGCAGGTGAAACAATTTCACTTCGCTACTTTTAGGTAAATTTCCTCCACCTTATTATTGATCTGCATCCTGTCATCGGTTGTCTAGTTCCCATTCAGGCTGGACATTCCTCTGGTGGAGCTGCAGGTGAACAAGGAGTGGTGCAAAGCCTCGGACGCCACAGTCAGATTCACAGTTACTTCAGCATATCAGCGCAGCTCATGGGACTGGGTCGCAATTTACAAGGTGACAGTTGCTCTGGGATCTAATTCTGACATGTTTGTTCCTCCCAGCGCTGACATCTGAATGTTTTCCAGGTTGGATTCAGACATCACAAAGATTATCAGGCTTATGTTTGGGCCAAAGGAGAACATGCTACTCAGGTGTGTCCAGCAATCAGATTCACACACGATTAAAAAAGAAGAACACTTGAGCTGAATTTACAGTTGAATCTCACTGATTTGTTTATATTTTTACCAGGTCACATTCTCAGAGGAGGATTTACCGAGAGATGATTGTGAATTCATCCTGGGTTACTACAGTCATATTATGAACAGTATCGTTGGGTTATCTTCACTAATTCAGGTAACACAATCATAAGGGTAATGTCATAGTTTTAGACATTTTTTTTATCACATTTTATCATCTAAAATCATAAACATCCATCCATTTTTGGCCACGTATCTGGGGTTGGTTCACGGGGGCAGCAGCCTAAGCAGGGAAGCCCAGACTTCCCTCTCCCCAGCCACTTGGGCCAGCGCCACCAGGAAAATCCCGATGCATCCCCATCCTAATTAGATACCCATGCCACCTCAGTTGGCTTCTCTTGTTGTGGAGGAGCAGCAGGTTTACGCTGAGCCCCTTCCGTATTACCGAGCTTCTCACTCTTATCTCTAAGGGAGAGCCCAGCCACCCTGCAGCGAAAACTCATTTTAGCCGCTTGTATCTTCAATCTCGTTCTTTCGGTCCCTACCTAAAGCTCGTGACCATGGGTGAGGGTAGGAACATAGATCGACCAGTAAATCGAGAGCTTTGCCTTCTGGTTCAGCTCTCTCTTCACCACGACAGACTGGTACAACGCCCGCATCACTGCAGATGCAGCACCAAAAAACTCCTGAGTGGAGCTGTCGTTGTGTCCTTGGGCAAGGCACTTAACCCACCTTGCCTGCTGGTGGTGGTCGGAGGGACCGGTGGCGCCTGTGTATGGCAGACTCTTCCCTGTCAGTGTGCCCCAGAGCGGTTGTGGCTACAGTGTAGCTCCTCACCACCAGGGTGTGAATGTGTGTGTGAATGGGTGAATACCTGATTGTGTTGAACAGCGCCTTGGGGGGTTCTAGTATTCTAGAAAGTGCTATACCAAATACAGGCCATTTATCAAGGCTCCGGCGGTGGATGAGATTTGCCCAGAATTCCTTAAGGCTCTGGATGTTGTAGAGTTGTGTTGGCTGATGCAGCTCTGCATTATTGCATGGACATTGGGGGCAATTCCACTGGATTGGCAGACCGGGGTGATGGTATTTGTGTTTCAACTCCAGGGGCTCACAGTCCTGAGCTTCCCTGGTAATCATAAACCTGGTAAATTTAAATGTATCCCTGTTAAACATTCAGTTTATACAAACTCTTTGAATTTATCTCTGTGTAATTCAAATCAAACACCCATATTTCTAAGGAGAGGTTCAGTGAGAAATGTATACTTGTTCTTTTTAAATGTGCACATGCATGCTGAGCGTGAAAATAGTCCTCTCCTGCACTGAAGGAAAAGACGTAGAAACGCTGGGTTCAGAAAAAGTCTGTCTCTTCTACGTCACACTAAATTAACAATCATGGACTCGCCCACCTTGGTTTGCGACGGGGAAAGGCTGTTGTTGATTTAGCGTACAGAAGAGAGTTGATAACACCCTGGCTAGTAGAAGCTAACTGTTAGCTTTAGCAACTCCACAACATGGCAGAACACCTTCAGTAACACAAGGCACAGTGCTACAGTGTTAGCAAGGCGAGATGTTTGCATTTCATGAATATTAATGAGCAAGACTCCAAGTCCCCCCCCCCCCAACTTCTACTTTTTGAAACAAGTGTATGACTCCTTCAAGTCCCTAATTTGCCACTTTACGTAATTTTATCATCATGTCTAATTTAATTTTCTATAATAATAACACTATGGTTTTAAACCATTTCAATCAAAAGTGATTTTTTTTTGTAGTTTCAGATCAAAAATATAACCATTTACAGCTTATTAAATAGATTTAGATGACTCATCTGAGCTCAGCCCAGTGTTTACTTATGTTCTCAAGTATGTTATGTGTGCATGTGGGCATGTGTGTGTGTGTGTGTGTGTGTGTGTGTGTGTGTGTGTGTGTGTGTGTGTGTGTGTGTGTGTCACTGGGAAGGGAGGGTTTAATTGTCAATGACATTTGTGGGATATGTGGGGTCTTTTTAGTCTGTAAAGCACTTTGAGTTATATTTTGTATGGAAAGCGCTTTATGAATAAAGTTTGATTGGCTTTCAAATCATATTATTATGACATTTAAATATCTGAAAGATACTTTAAAATGTGTGTTTATTTTAGAAATTTTCCAATATGATTAGAGACAAACTAGTATCCTAAAACACTGATGGTGTTTGACCGAAAAAGTAAGCAAAAACTCACAGAAAAGCAAGTTGTAGAGATTAAAGGACTGCTTAATATTTAGTAAAGGGTGTAACACTGTTGTGTACAAGGCAGACCTCCCAGGGAAGGAAGTTCAACGCAGAGATTTATCAATACATTACTGTGTGGCCAACCGAGTGCTAGGACTCTGTTGTTCCACTGTTGATTTATATGTTTCCATCATCCATTTTGGAAAGATAACAGACCTTCGCCCTCTATGGGTGCACAAACAAGTTACTGTGTCCCTTCACTGGCCTGACTGAGAAGTTCCAAGTCATCCACTAGAGGTCGCCAGAGTCTCAACTGCATTTCAGTCAGAACTAGAAGAAGAAGAAAATATAATTTCTATAGCGCCTCAAGATAAAAATCACGAGGCGCTTCACAAAAACAAAAAATGTAAAAATATAAAAAAGCATTTAGAAAATGTTTAAAAATATATTTAAAATGTGCAAAAATAGACACTTGTGATTAAAAAAATGTTAAGAAAGAGAGAGATAATTGGAAATAGGGAAATTAGTGGATCCTGAGGAAGGTGGAATAGGTGGGGAGAGCAGAATAAAGAGAGAGGGGTTGAAGAAGGTCATACAAAAGCCAGCTTGAACAAGTGTCTTCAGCTGCTTTTTAAAGCCACTGAGTCCACTGATCTCAGGCTCAGGGGGAGAGAGTTCCAGAGTCTGGGGGCCACAGCAGTAAATGATCTGTCACCTTTGGTCTTTAGCCTGGTGCTGCACAACCAGTAGGCTTTGATCACTGGACCTCAGGGACCTGCTGGGGGTGTAGGGACTAAGAAGATCAAAGGCAGTGGCAGAAACGCAAAACAGGACCTGGGCTCTGTCGCCATCCAGCACCCTGCTATGACTGGGCTCAGAGGAGAGAGAGATAGATTCATTCATATAATTCAAAGAGAAGAGGAATGCCAAAGTAGGATGATCGCTATGAGACAAGACAGTGCCCGGACTAACTGCTCCAGGATCTATTCTTCTGACAGATTATGTGAACAGAATTGTAGAATTTAGAACCTTGAAGGATCCTTTTTCTGATTCAGTCAGTGTTTGATGTTCTCCAAGTCTTGCTACCTTGCACAACCAGGGGTTGTTAGAGGCTCCAGCACGCCCATGTTTTGTGGAGTTACTATCGCTAATCGTTGGCTTATACTAATGCTCCTCTCTCCTAGCTGCTAAACCAATACATCCTTCTGCAGTTGCAAGCCAAGGTGGGCGAAGTTATGAATACTAATGTTCCCTGTGACATAGAAGAGGCTGGCTTTTGCTGACCCAACTGTTTTCCCGTGTATTTATTTTCTGCGGTTAATGCTGGCGATAAAGACTATTATCACGTTGTGCATGCATGTGAAACTCAAAGGTGATTGTATTTCAGAAAGCACCAGTACTACACGTTTTTTTGGTGGAGACCTTTATAGCTCAGTTCCATTTCGGGGGTTAGGGATGGGTCAGGGTGGATCATCGTTGGCAGGTATAGGTCTGCAGTTTCAGGAGAGAGTTTCAATCACAGTTTGGACTCTCACTTGGCAGGCGGGGTTAAACGTAAATGCCTACCGTCCTTACGATCCGTCTAGCTCAGGGGTGTCAAACTCATTTTAGCTCAGGGGCCACATCGAGGGAAATCTAGTCCCAAGTGGGCCGGACCGGTAAATTAAAAACAACTTCAGATTGTTTCCTTTGTTTTAATACAATCAATATAAAACAAGGCTGGAGCCTGAGGACAGTGTATCCAAAATAGTACAAGTACAACACCTGAAGTGTACTTGAAAATTTGAAATAAATAAATAAATAAACATTCCTTAGTGATTCAAAGAGCTTACAGATCGCATGGCTAGATCAGTTTCATGCAGCACTTAAAGTATATTTGACTCATTTTACTTTACATCTTTTAGCTTTCACCAGCACATCAATATCAGAAGTCACATCCTGTGTGGAAGCCAACTTCAGGATGTGATTCAAGTTCTTGTGTGAGCCTTGAGCGCAGCTTTGTTTTATTTATACTCATTACAGAGGAAACTTGCTCACAAAGAAACTTTTATTTTCACTCTACATTGTAAAGTATGAAAATAAAGTTTACACAACCATCTCGCGGGCCAGATTTAACCCGTTTGCGGGCCGGATCCGACCCGCGGGCCATATGTTTGACACCCCTGGTCTAGCTCATCCTGAATGTGGCTATTGCCAACGATGGTGAGCAATGTGTGGAGCTCTGAAACTGACCAAACCTTGCTGCTACTTCCTGGCATTTTCTCACATTTGTGTACAACTAATGATAATACCAACAACAGAACCCCTGGGATTGTTTTGCTTGTTGAAAGTAGTGACGTATTTCTGTCCCCCAGTCAGTGTTGTTTTGATGTCGCCGCTTCGCCCTAACCGCACTGCTCCATTGTCCTATGGACCAACAACAGAAGGGGCCCATGAGTGGTGCGTTCCAGGTTGGTTGTATGGACCGGTTTTACAATCGGGACTGACAAAACAGCGGCCCGTCTCGCATCGTTCTGCACCCTGCGGTGGAACCGAGCCATCCTAACAAAGAGCTGCCCTGCAAGAGGGGAGATACTGATTTTGCCATGACTAGGTGTTAAATACAATATCTACAAAGACGTTCAGCAGAACAAAGAGCAACCTACTGCTGAAAATTACATAACATTTGTCAGAGCAGCCCAGATGAGAAAAAAAACAGCCAACAAGCAATGTCCTAAGAAATTTGCTAGTCTAATCTTGATAGGAACAGCTGATGGTAAAACTTGAAGTCCTCTGGGATTGAGGTGTCCCATGGGTGAAAGGGAGCCAAATACCTGGTGTTGATGGAGTCCTGCAGAGAAAACCGAGGAAACTCTCATTTTGAACCAGCAGAGTTGAGCAGCAGGAGATTTCCACACCAGTCTACACCATCTAACCTTCTTTCCTTCAACAGATCAAGATGCCAGCTCACAGCCCCAGTGTGTGTCGCTCTGACAGCTCTGATGTCAGCTCAGAAGATGACAGCACTTTAGTCCTGCTGGCTTCAAACTCCCGCAGTCCCAGCCCTAAAACAGGCAAACGCCAGCACCAACACCGCCGTAGCCGCAGCCCGGCTGTTCCTGCACTGTCCCCCAACCCACTACCTGCCCTGCAAGGCCTCAGCCTCTGTCCTCGCCCTAAAGAGTGCCATACACAAAACCGATCGCCCTGCTCGGCTGCTAAGAAGGAGCGCCTGGTCTCCCCTGACACTGTGATGTCTCCCATCATCACCCCTCTCAGTCCTCGTAGTCCAGTATCCCCAGGTTGTGGCGTGACAGCACCAGAGGCCCTGATTGTAGCCATCCTAGGTGAGCACAGTCCTGCTCAGGTTAGCCCCACGAGGGTGAAAAACATCAGGAAGCTGGAGGAAACGGACACGAGAAAGAACATAGAGTTAGAATGAAATTGAGGATGTCTATAATGTCTGACGTCACTTGTCTCTGAGCTCATAGAAGCAATACATGATGTAGTTTGCAAACATTCTGCATTTTAGCTGTGCATTTTCCTGTTTGTGAATCAAATATTTCATGCACTTTATATAATACTTCGAGCTAAATTTGTGATCTGACTCTTGGGATCTTTTATCATAATGCAAACAAGCTTAACATGAAACCAGAGTCTGAGCGACTTGGTGATGGATGTGACCAGCTATCATTTACAGCAATATGGATCCATGTCAACGTTTATATCAGAATAAGAACCCTGGACCAGAGGTATTGATGGGGTTAGAGTTCACGCCCGACAAAGGAACATGTTTGTGTGTGTGGCTATTTGTAAGTGTTAGTTTGTTCATTTAAATGTGTGAAACTTGCCTTTTTAGACCTCATGATTTTAACTCCGTACGACCCAGTCTGCATTGATGTGAAGATGGACATCATTGTTCTCCACTCATCAGGGAGAGTTTTGTTTGATTGTGCAAAAGTATGAATACAATTTTAAACAAATAAGTCATCAACAAACTAACATATTTGTAACCTTTCATTGAAATAAACACATGTGTGCAAATTGACTCAAGCCCCGTCATGCTTCTTCGACAGCAGAAACCGGTGAGGTAATTGTGACTTTATGCTCTTGATGAAGGTGTTTCAACTGACCAAAAATCCATACATATACTCATTAAATCAATGAAAAATCAGCCAAATGGGGTGTTGAGTCTGCAGGAGAACTAAAGGTTATTTACGTTTTTATACATGATAAATTGTTTCAGAAATTAGGAAGAAAATGCTGTAGATTAACTGTGCAGCAAATAATCAATGGTATTTTAATATTGCCACACAACTCCAATGCAAAGAATACAAACATTGATCTCTTTGAGCTGTTTGGAGAGGAGATTTTGTGGATTTTTGCTGCAGGGGGTGGACAGAAACACACAACTTATGGTTTGCATTCGAAATAATTACGCTTTAGATTAAAGGCAGAAACTGAGGGCAGATGGAAAAGGGATTAGATAAACCAATAATGGAGAAATCTGCCTCCAAGCAATATGTTTTATCTGACGCCAGCTGCATTACTTATTTCAAGGGTTTTCAATTGGTTTAGCACAAATCTGTTTGGGGCCAACTTGATAAAGTTGATAAGAAAGAAAGTCAGGATAACAGGGGGAAATGAGCAGTGTTTAGTTTATATTCTTTTATTTCTGAAATTCGTATTTTTCCTTGAGTGTTAGTTATTTCATATCTAGTACTGCAGATTTCGTGATTACACCTTTTCAGAATTATAGAACGTTTTATTTTGAAATGTGTACATTTCTTTGCTATAATTAAATATGTAAAATAATTAATAGTTCTGCAGTGACCTGTAGATCTACGTGGAATACTTAATTTAGAAAAATATTAGAATTTTTCATAACAGAAAACTACTAACTGAGCTATTTGTACAATGTAACCAGTTTCATGAGGTCGTTGTTTTGTTTGAGGCTCTTTTAGCCACGTGCCTTTTCTCGTCAGGATGTTTAGTGTTTTACAGGAGGAGCTCCTCGATCAGGACCACATGGTCTGAGCTCTACAACAGCTGGTGGAAGGAAAGGACTGAAGGGGTCTGCGGAAGTAACGCCTTGACTCTTTGGCTTCGTCTCTGCTGGTTGCAGGTGACTGTATCTGCTTCCAGGCGTAAACCCGAGTGGTAAAATAAGATAAATCGACTCTCGGCTTCCGTAAGCTACCAAAACAACATTTTGCTAGCTTGTTAGCTGCTGATAGTGATTACAAAATGAACGGTCAGCTGAACGGGTTTCATCACGAATTGCTCCACGAAGAAGATTGCTTCCTCTTTACCTCCGAGTCAGTCGGAGAAGGACACCCTGGTAAGTTTTATTGTCTTACTACCAAGTGTCACTCACCACTGTCCTGAGTAGTTAGCCTAGCGTCCTGTTGGCTTCTCCATCGCAGTTCGTGAGCAGCACCGGATTAATTAGCCGTAACTGCTAACTTTTAAAACCATATTTTGACTCACGAATTTCGGATAAAGAAAAACACGAACGTTCAAATACAGTAGATATATGTATATAGTTGTGTAAAGAGGAGAAAACAACGAAAGACCCTCAACGACAACACTATAGTCGATTAGTGAACCTCTTACACTGCGGCTATTCGTTAAATTTGCGCCATTTTCACAGTTTAAAAAGACTTTGTAGATCTTTAGTTTCCCCACTGCGGCTAAGTGCTAAGGCTAACACTTTTGTGGACGTTTGGTGTCCGTCAATCATATTCGACTCCAGTCTCGTTCGTGTCTTTGAAAGCTGGAAGTAAAAGGAGAAGGTTGTGGTGCAGTCAGGATTTGGAATCGACTTTAATCCCACTCTGCAGCAGATTAGCACCCACTATATGCTGTAGTTTTGTCTCAGTGCAGATCTACAGAAAGATGTGGCCACATCTTGGCTCTTTATTAAAAAAAAATCGGTATTTCATTATAGTTACCAAAGAAGTAAGATTGCAAACATCTGTTTTTCAATTCAATTCAAGTTTATTTATATAGCGCCAAATCACGACAAGAGTCGTCTCAAGGCACTTCACATAATAAACATTCCAATTCACAGTTCATTAAGCCAATCAGAAATAATGTTTCCTATATAAGGAACCCAGCAAATTGCATCAAGTCACTGACTAGTGTCAGTGACTACAGCAATCCTCATACTAAGCAAGCATGCAGCGACAGTGGAGAGGAAAACTCCCTTTTAACAGGAAGAAACCTCCAGAGAATCCTGGCTCAGTATAAGCAGCCATCCTCCACGACTCACTGGGGATCGAGAAGACAGAGCAGGCACACACACACACACACACACACACACACACACACACACACACACACACACACACACACACACACACACACACACACGTTTTGTTTATATTTGGAGTTATTCGTCTTTTGTGTGTTGTATGAAAATGTCTAATCTTCCTTCACAGATAAGATTTGTGACCAGATCAGTGATGCCGTGCTGGACGCACACCTCAAACAGGACCCTGATGCCAAAGTAGCATGTGGTCTGTATTTGCACAACAAAGGTCCTAAAGTCAAAGAACATGGCTCAAAAATCATTATGCCAATTGAGACGTGTAGAAAAAAGCAAAGAAAAGTTGCCCTATGCCTTTTATTTCTGTTGTTTTTAGAATTATTACCCAGGGAAAAGCTCCATTTGAAATAATGGAGCCATTGTATCATAATCAGATCTGAAAGATCCCTTTGTGTGTTTTTTTATGGTTTCTGGTTCCATTAAGTAAACATTTGTTTATCTCTTAATGTACCAGGGATGCAGATGATGAAAGCCTGAAAAGCTTTTAGGTTTTGCTCAACTCGTCCTCTGAACCAGAATATAAATGACATTTTGTTTTGTGCTCAGGAGCCTTTTCTCAGTTACTGTTTAGGACCAAAAACTTTATTTTATGTAACCTTTACCTGCTAATCCTTCTTAACACGGTTAAGAGATTAAACAATGTCACACTCAGTTTTAGACTCGCCACTTTAACTGATTGCTGTTTCTTGGGTTTCAGAGACCGTAGCTAAGACGGGGATGATCCTGCTCGCGGGGGAGATCACCTCCAGAGCCAGCGTTGACTATCAGAAGGTTGTCAGGGATACGGTCAAGGACATCGGCTACGACGACTCCTCTAAAGGTATGAGCATCCAGGAGTTTAGTCCACGTTCCATCCTTTTGTCAAGAAATACGAGTTTGGTCTGTTAGGTGTGAATACATGATGGGGAAAATCAGCATTTTATTATGTGTCACACAGCGTCTGACTCCCGAGAGAGAAAATGGATTTATTTATTGATTGTTACTCACCAGCCAACAGGCTAACTCAATTCAGTGCTCCATCTGAAGCTCTGACAACACAGAAGACTGTTCATAACTGCTAAAGCCAAATGAGTATTAATTATAAAACCTTTCTAAGTGAACAATGCTAATGGTGCTTTCATTAAGGAAATGATTTTGATCTTACAACACGAACATCACCACATCAAGAACTGCTTGTTTCTACTTAACAAGAAAATAAATGTTGGTTTTAAAGCAGATTTATGGTTTACATATCCTCCCAGGTATGTATAAATACTGTTAACTAAGTTCTACACGAAGAAACGTATCATTTCCAATCACCATACGGTGACATGCCTGACAGACCAAGTCTATCAGACAGGCATACGCTGTCAGATCATTATACACGTTGTTTTTAACAACCTTGTGACACCCTTACTTGTCAATTTGATATATTTTATAGCATTATTTTCTAGAAGATTTTACAAATAGAAGGTGGTAAAATAAATATTTGATGTACATTTTGTGGATGGTAAGACTCTACAAACACTACTGTGAAGAAACTTCAAAACATATCAATGAATGTGTAGCTTCTCAGTTATCACTAAAAGTATAAATTCGCTGATTCGCGGTATTTTTCTATGCGAAATATCAAGAAATTCCTGTTTTTTTTTCCCATCAATTTCATCATAAAATGCACTTTTTGTAATAAAACTATAAATAAACCAAGTAAAAAATAAATCTACGTAAAGGGAGGGTTTTAAAAGTCTGAATACTGAATACATACCTGTTAAATAAATACTGTAAATATGGTGCCCCTACTTCGCGGAATTTCACCTATCGCGGCCAGGTCTGGAACGCATCTACCGCGATAAACGAGGGATCACTGTATTACATTAGTTTTATATGTCGATGTTATTACAGCGTATGCATGTCTGTCAGACCCTGTCAGATGATCATACATTTCTTAATCTGTATGAGATTTTGATGGGCCAGTTTACCCATCAGATCAGCATACACTTTGTTTTTAACAACAGTTTGACTTTTTTGTCTGTATGCTGAACCGACGGCTCCTCAGAACGTAGCGGAGGTTTAGAAGAATGTACATAATCTGCATGTATGCTGCTCTGATATGTATTTTGTTCTGTCAGAACACGGACTTTCAGCCTGTTCAGTTCTACATCTCAGACCGTACGCATCTTTCCTGGTTTCCATGAAGACATTCCTGGAAGGTTCTGTGAAACATTGTAGTGTTTGTCTGCTGCTCAGGTTTTTTACAGTCTTGTGAATTCCTGCCATCCTTCAGGAGAAGTGCAAGATGTTAGATGTTATGAAATAACTAATTCACAATTTTACAGACTCTTGATCACACGTGATAAAAAAAATTTAATTGCATTTCAAACGGGGGTAAATAATGTTGGTGTCATGAACGGTTCAAAATGTCTCCTTCCAGGTTTCGACTACAAGACCTGCAACGTGCTGGTGGCTCTGGAGCAGCAGTCTCCCGACATCGCTCAGGGGGTTTACCTGGACCGTAAGGAGGAGGACGTCGGAGCGGGAGACCAGGTCTGTGGAAACTCAAACCAGAGGTGAACTTTGACCTCAGTTCTCCTCTTAACTGGTGACTACTTCCCAACAGGGTCTCATGTTTGGATACGCTACTGATGAGACGGATGAGTGCATGCCCCTCACAATGGTTTTGGCTCACAAGCTGAACGCCAAGATGGCCGAGCTGCGTCGAGATGGGACACTGCCGTGGGTCCGACCCGATTCTAAAACTCAGGTTAGACGTGGAAAGTGTTTTTTCTTCGAAAAATCCAGTATTTATTGTTTTAATTGTCTGTAATAAATGACATTGATCTTGCTATGTGTGTGTTTTGTGATTGCACTGGTCGATTCTCTCTCTCTCTCTCTCTGGTCAGGTGACTGTTCAGTACAGGCAGGACAGAGGTGCCGTGGTGCCGCTGCGAGTCCACACCGTCGTGATTTCTGTGCAGCACGACGAGGGTGTGAGTCTGGAGGAGATGCGCCGGAGTCTGAAGGAGCAGGTGGTGAAAGCTGTGGTTCCTGCCGGGTACCTGGATGATGACACCATTTATCACCTGCAGCCCAGTGGGCGATTTGTCATCGGAGGTCCACAGGTGAGGGGGTGACGGCTGGCGTCTCATGTGTGCATAGTTTGGGTCAATGTACCAACATTTTCACTGGAACTGAATCCTTTCCTAAAGAGTGATGCCGGTTTGACTGGGCGGAAGATCATTGTGGACACCTACGGGGGCTGGGGAGCCCATGGAGGCGGGGCTTTTTCTGGAAAAGATTACACAAAAGTGGACCGCTCTGCCGCCTACGCTGCTCGGTGGGTCGCCAAGTCTCTTGTAAAAGCTGGACTCTGCAGACGTGTCCTGGTCCAGGTGAGAACATGGCTCACGTGTCCCCTAATGAACAGCTAATCTTTTAACACCGGTTAAACTGTTGAGAAACTGCTCTATACTGCTGACCTGCTAAAAATGAAAGTTTCACTGCCTTTTCTAGGTCTCCTATGCCATTGGAGTGTCCCACCCTCTCTCTGTTTCCATCTTCCACTATGGGACGTCTCAAAAGAGTGAAAAAGAGCTGCTGGACATCGTGGGGAAGAACTTTGACCTCCGTCCAGGAGTCATCGTGAGGTAAACTGAAACTCCGAGTGCTAGCACCAGCTCTAAGCCAAACAGCTTTTATTGTTGTAATAACCAACACAACTAACTCCTGGAAGTTTTTCTCTACATTTTTAAAAACTTTGCCTTTTCATTAAGTTTTCTATTGATGAGGTCATCAAATTTTATATTTATTCATATTTTCTCTTTATTTATTAAAAGCAAGCATAAAAAAGACCTCTATCGTCCACTCTGTAGATATTTAATGGATTTCTCTTTGTGTCTAAGGGATCTGGACCTGAAGAAGCCCATCTACCAGCGCACTGCGACCTACGGTCACTTTGGTCGGGACGTCTTCTCTTGGGAGGTCCCCAAGAAGCTGAAATTTTGAGCCCTGCTTTCTGCTCTGGTTTCCCCTCAGACACACCTGAGTGGTTTTCCTTTCCTCTTCCTCCCCTTTCTCTCCTCAGATGTAGCGACATTACTGTCTCCTCAGCCACGCACACACACACGCACACATACATATGAAGTTCCTCCAAAAAGCAAAGCAAAAATTAGTAACTTACTGTGTCCTGCGGATTTGTACGGATAAAATCTCTATTTAAATTTTATTTATGAGGCCTTTTGCACACATAACTTGTTCCTTAACTTTAAAATGTGTTTTCCGTTGCCGTCTTTTCTCTCGTTAATGTCCTCTTCTAGTCATGCCGGTGAAAACAGCACTCCTCTGTGGTAGACATGTGGAAGACACGCGATGGGACTAATTTACCGATCTGATCTTGGTGCGGTCCCTTCAGGACGGGTTGTATTTTCTGACGTTTTACAGAGAAGTCAGAAGCTGCTAATGACTGGTTTTGTTTGGACTGCACCATGAATCCTGTGTTTTTTATACTATGCATGTTGGATGCTTAAATGTCACATGGAAGATGCAGGTGAATGTGTCCATGTTCTGCTGACCAAGAGTCTGGGTTTAGTGGACTGGAGCTGCCTTTATCACATTGTTACATCAGTTATTGATTATTTAAGTCGGTGTTTGATTGTCCAGGGACCTATTCGTTTGACCAGTAAAGAGTAAAGTTTCTGCATGTCGGGGCTTTTTGCATTATTATTATTGCTACTGCTGGATTATAGAATGGGAACGTGTGTCGGAGGATGAAGAGCAGGGTCACATATATGAAGAAGATGCACAGTCGGTGTAGTGAATGTATCTTAAAGTTACTAAACTCGCTGTCAAATGATTTTTGTGCTTTAGACCAGATTTGTTGAAGGTGTTCCTCAGGTTTTGCCACCATCTTGTCTTTTTAAAACTAAATTTGTAGGTAAGTATGATAAAGTGTCCAGATGTGTTACCCAGAGGCTTTGGAGGGATTTAAAGACGGCACAATCTCTAAATGACCCCCAGTTCATTTCCACATGGAATACAAGAAAATGCCAAAAATATTTACATTCAAATCACCTGATAGCATTATTCTCTGCCACGCCACTAGGTGGCGCTGCTCTCGCATAAAACATTGTAAAACTGGCTGGTTTAGGGTGTTGGTTTGATTTCCTTCCCCTCAAGCTACATGGAGCTTTAGACTCCTCGCACCCGCGTCTGTAGAATTATTTACATTTAACCGTTTTCTCCTGTTTTAGTACGTTTGCTTCTGCCCCTCCACGCTGCTGCAGACCACTGAGTGGTTGGTGTTGTACAGAGAAACCAGCCTGTTTACATGGTCTCAAGTGGGGAAATATTCAAAGTGAGTTAGCAAAATGTATAAATATAAATGTGCCTTTTCCTATTCAGCTCAAATGACCCACACACACATAGAAACGTAGTATTTTTTCCTGTAACTGCCCCCTGCTGTGATCACAGATGTCTGATCTCATTTTCTAGGTGTTTCTGTTAAACTGATGAATAAACTGCTCCTTCGTGCTCGTGTGCCATGCTTTTATCTTTATAACATCCACCTCTGTAGATCCTTCTACTGGTGACCCAGTGGGAACACGGGAAAGCAGAAGTGTGAAAGAACGGAAGTGATTTGAACAAAAACCACGTTCATTCTGTATCACTTTCCCTTCTATGTGTTGTTTCAACCTCGTCAAAAACATTTGGTTGCCGTGCCGATCCCCACCAAGGTTACGTTCACATCTCCTTAGACTTAAACTGTTAAATTTCAGCTGTTGTATCGGGAGACGATAAAGACAGATAAGAAAAAGCTGGTTTTATTTGACATGATAGTGAGAGATTACGCTGAAGCCAAGAGACGCAGAATAACAAGCTGATTTGTACAAATGTGGGGTTTGCAGAATTCCTGTGGAACATGAAGAATTTAACCTCTTGATCCAGATAATCCTCCTGGGTGCAGATGTGAAGCATAAATCAGAAAAGGCATTAAAATATTGAATCAGGACGAAATGAAAATGCTGTCAGAGACTTGGCTTGTGTTCAAAACCTGTAAAAGGCAACATGCAAATGTTTTAGAGCACACTTGGTTTCATGTTAATGCAGGTTTTATACTAAAACATCAGTTGGGTTTAACTTACTGTGACGTTTTAGATGGCGTCATAGGTCAGAGGCTTCCAGGCAAATTTCTGACAGTAGGAAACCGTCTGGACAGGGAGAAGCACATCAGATGGTTTTAACTCATCCACAGGAAAACAAACTTGTCTGACGACAGATTACTTACTCCACATTTAACAGCCGTTTTTATGTCTCTGCATTGGTATGTGGGCACTGTGCACGGGTCTGCAAGTAAACAACACACCATTAAAGCTGGGTTTTATTTAGAACAAGAGTTCAGAGATGAAACATGAAATTAACTGCTCCTTCCTGTTCTCACATTTATGCTCATCCATGTATTCTAATCAGGTTATAAACGTTTTATTTAGTTATTTCTTTAAAGAAGAGGGAAATCGCAAAAGAAACAAAGGGCAACGATTTCATAGATGGGAGGAAAGATTTTCAGGCTTCAAATGTTAAATTAAGTTAAATTATTATGGACTAAACCAGTGTCCAAAATCCAGGTTTGTGTGTGTGTGTGTTTGACTACTGTAGAGCTCTCATCACAGGCTTCCATAGCCGTTTAACATGTCTGCCAACCAACACTCCCAGGAGAAAGCATATTGCTCCTGTTCTGTAACCACTGCACTGGCTTCTCGTGAGTTTTAGAAAACAGTTCAAAACCTTGATGTTCCCATTTTGGTGTTCATGGCGCTGCTCCTTCCTATATCTCACATATCATTCCACATGTAAGTCAGAGTAACTAGATCAGGTCAGCTGTTCCGTACCTAGGTGATTGCTCTTTTGCTGTGGCAGCCCCAAAACTGTGGAACAGATCGCCCCCTGACCTTTAGAGACAACCACAGCTCAAATACTGTTTAAAATTAAGCCTGGAGCATACTGTCAGGATTTCAAGCTTCTTACTTTGGCCATATCAAGCTCATTTATCTCTTTTATATTTTTACTCTACTTTTATTTGTTTCTTTTCTTATTTATTTTTATTGTAACTTTGGAGAACAGATTTTAGTGTCTTACTGTAAAGCACCTTATAGTCACCTTTTTTTAGCTGTGTTAAGTGCCTTAATACATTTTGATTGATTGTTTTTAAATTAAATTGCATTTTATAAATTTTAATTATTTTTTAAAAAATAAAAATGGGTTCTAAAATAGTTTCTGGACAGCAGCCTTTAATAAAACAGCTGATGCAGTCATTTCACCTGTGATTTAATATAAATATGTGAGGTATAGTCTCCTGAATCTTCTCATTTTTATGTTTTTTTTTTTACTAAAGATATTTTTGCAGCATGAAACTAATGCATTTAAAATGCACAGAGAAATTAAGAAGATTTTTAGTTTTCGTTTGCTTCAGTGATTTTGACATTTTCAAACCATAGAATGGATCTGCGGCCTCAGGCGACATTTTAGAGTTCAAATCCAGCTGAACTAGGTTTTATCACACAAATCAGGAAATGCAGACTGACCAACAGCAGGAGCCTCCTGGCCTTTACACAGATGTATGAGGGCGCAGATGGCCTCAGGCGTAGCGTAGCCAATGATTGCGTCCAGCACCGTCTTGCCGTACTTGCTGATGATGGCCTCACACTGACCCCGATGCGCCGAAGGCACAATGTGACAAACTTCTTCGAACAGTTTGATCACAGCTCCCTGAAGAGGACAGGCATTAATCTCAATTGTCTTCTTGCCCCACAAAGAGACACCGTTGGTGTCCTCACCTCAGTCCTCTCTCTAGGCAGCAGATCCTCCAGAGTCTTGAAGAGGAAAACGCAGAAGGAGCACTGTGTTGAAGGCTTCGCCTGGTTGACAAGCATCAACAGCAAGAAAGATGAGTAAAAGCCGATTGTGCTCTGACTTATTTTTCATATCTCGTTTTAAATTTTAACATTTTTGCTTTTTACCGCAGCCTGAAGAGTTTGCTGAACTAAGTAGCTCAGCATCTTCTCCTGTGAGTCAGAGGAGCCACAGAGGCCGACCAGTTTACAGATCTCTGCTGGTTTCTACAGAGCAGGGACAATAACAACAAAACCATACAGGTGTTTTATTTGGGTTATTATTCCAACCTCTTGTCTGAATCAGGCCCAGACTTACTGCCATCCCCGTGAGGAAGGTGATGGCTACTGGGAGCATCTTGTCCACCTCTAGTTTGCAGATTTTGGCAGGTGCTTCAGGCAGTTGTGCACACAGACTGTCAATTCCTGCTGTGATCTTTTTCTGGAAGAAAGTGGGGATGGGGAAGCATTTATTACATTTAATTCCAAAACTTCCCTTCTTGCTGAATTTTTTGCTACAGAGAGAAATTTTCACCTTAAAGCCAGACAGACAGGTTAGATGTGTTCATTCATAAAAGCTTTTTGCATTATTTAGTTTATTATGAGCTGGTTAAGTGTGTAAACTATACCTGTAGCTAGATTTGAATTACAAACTATCTTAATGTTAAATCAAACACACTTTTAGCTCATTCATGCTTTTGTTTAATCACCAGTTATTCCTTGTTTTGTTGGTTTATTTAGTTCATTTAGTTTGTTTCATGCGTCAAAGGAGGATGTTCAGAGCTTTTTTCTGTCAAGTAAAGCAGAAAAAATTCTAAAAACTGATTTATTTTGGAGGCTGCGCAGTGGTTAGAGCTGTTGCCTCGCTGCAGTGAGAAGGTCCTGGGTTCGCTTCCCGGCCTGGGATCTTTCTGCATGGAGTTTGCGTGTTCTCTCCGGGTACTCCGGCTTCCTCCCACAGTCCAAAAACATGACTGTTAGGTTGATTGGTCTGTCTAAATTGTCCTTAGGTGTGTGTGTGTGTGTGTGTGTGTGTGTGTGTGTGCATGATTGTTTGTCCTGTGTGTTTCTGTGTTGCCCTGCGATGGACTGGCCCTCTGTCCAGGGTGTTCAGAAAATGGATGGGTGGATTTATTTTGGCTGTTTTGTTCTAATTAAGTTGACAGGAGTTTGTTCTTGAGCCGAGGCTCAAACTAGAACAAGATCAGAAAACAAGAAGCGGGTCTTCAACATCGGGTGGGACAGAAAGTCACAAGTTTCATTTCATAGTTCGTTAGAAAAGGGAAGTGAGTTTTCACACACACACACACACACACACACACACACACACACACACACACACACACACACACACACACACACACACACACACACTTGTGTGTGTGTCCTGTTTGCGTTTCAGATACACTTGAAACACATCTGAGACATTTTGTTTGATTAAATGTGAAAAATGTGCTGCAGCTGATAACAGCTTTAGTCTAATCATTCCAGTCAACCACAGGAAGAACATTGTTTGTTTAATTCTTGCCTGAAGAACCTGGAACTGGTCGGACCTGATAAAGTCATCAGAGGGTAAACATGAACTCTCAGGTGTGCGAGACTCACCTGTAGGTCTGCGTTAGAGAGCATGTTGACTAGAAGTTCAAACATTTTGGTGCAGTCCTGGCAGACGTCCCCAGTCTAAAAATAAACCATCACAGTAAAGTATCACATCCTGAAAATATGACGTTCAGTATTTTTAGTGCAAAAGAAAGTTTGATCGGGCGGGATCTGATTTCTAATCATGTTAGTTTTACTTGATTAAAAAATCATTAGAAAAAAATTGGTTTAAATATGAATAAAAGGTTATTTGTTTGATTTTCCACATTTTATTTATCTATTTAGATAGTTATGTTTGTTGAATGTCACATAGTCCCAGAGAGTCAGCGCCCTGACACTGAGGGAATCGTTTTATGTGTCCTCACCGTTACCATAATAAAATATTAATTGAAAATCTTGTTAAATATGCCTATTGTTGTTCATATTATATAAGACAGTAGCATAAATACCTTAATGTACATTAATGTACTCGTAGGAAATTAAAATCCTTGCTTACTTCCAGGTTGTCTGGAGAAATCTCCAAACTGTTTATTTCATTGTTTCCATCCCAAGCTGCAAAACAAACACTTTCTGCTAAAATCAGCTAATCATCTCTTTACATCCATTATTATTTATGAATAAACACCTATTTTATTGACCTACCGTGGCCTTGGAGACCAACAGAGAGAAGCAATGTGAACGTAAGGGTGGCGGCAGTCATCTTCAGGCGTTCTCCTCTCGTCTGTGAGAAAAGTGTGGATGCACTTTATATCTGCAGTGGCCCACCTGCTAGCTGTGACCCCCACCTACCAGAAGCATAAAAAAATCTGGCATGCTTCTTCAGTATGCAGAAGTAAAGATAAAATTTCAGTTCCTCACACTGATGAGACACATTTATATAAGCAAACATGTTTACAGATGTTTATTTCCTCTTAAAGTGTTTTTATTATGTTTTTGTTTAAATGAGCTCACTCTGCAGGAAGCTGAATCTTGTCTATTATTCTATTTAGAGAAGTGGTGCAAAGATTTCTGACTTTTATTTGCATATTTGATGGACAACAGATGGAGCTTCCGCTTCAACTGAACACTTTTAGCTTTTCAGCTACTGAATCTGAACTAAATTAGATCAGATTTTAACTTAAAAAGCCTCAAGTTTTAAATGATCTAATCAGGGCGTACAGCGATGATGGAGCACATCGAGGGGTTTAGTTTTTACGTGGATGAATGCAGATAACATCATAGTGCAGTTGGTTGCAGTTGGAGCAGTATGGCAGGCAAAAGAACGGTTTGATATGATTGGTGGGTGGGATAATTCAGCAGGAAGACAAGCACAGAGGGTTTAAATACATGAGGGTAACCAGGAATCAGGTGGGTAGGATAACAAGGGACAGGTGAGTCCAATAAACACTTAACGAGGGGAGACAGGACAACGTAGCAGAGGGAGAAGGAGCAGACCCCGACACGTTGTTTAGGTGAGTGACTGAATGATAAATCTTTGGATACATAAAGCTCACGTGTAGCACCTTTTTTCAGGTAAAATGTTCTGAACTCCTGCTAAATGTATAAAAATCTCTTTAATCGCTTCAGTGAACTGAGTGCTTTTGTTTAGACATGCGTCTCTAATGCAGCTCACCTGGTTGGTTGCAGAGTACAACAACTTTTTGTTCAGCTTTTTTTTCTTGAAGCTTTTTAGAAAATGTAATTCTCATTTCCTCATTTTCAAATTTAACCAGGTCACTTATTTTTACCCCTACACACACACACACACACACACACACAAGCATGCATAAACACACAGTCATACACAAACACACAGTCACACACACACACACACACACACACAAGCATGCACAAACACACAGTCATACACGAACACACAGTCACACACACACACATACAAGCACGTACAAACACACAGTCACAAATACACTTACACACAGGCATGCAAACATGCACCAACACACATGCAGACACACACACACACACACACACACACACACACACACACACACACACACACACACGCGCATGTGTGCACGCGCACACACATGCACAAACAGACACACACACAGAGAGACATGCAAACATGCACAAACACAGACACACAGGCATGCAAGCATGCACAAACACACACACATACACACACACACACAAGCATGCATAAACACAGAGTCATACACGAACACACAGTCACACACACAGGCATGCAAGCATGCACACACACACACACACACACACACACACACACACACACACACACACACACACACACACACACACACACACAACTGCTATTAGCCAGAAGATTGTAATGCTTGTAGCACCACCTGCAGCTTTATTTTGGTAGATGTTGTACTTTTCATCCCTCAGTACCACCAGTGGTGTTCAACATGTGCCCCAATTACTGACCTGCTGCAGGTTCTCAAGGGCCACAAAATTCATTTTTTTTAAATAAAAGGAAAAATACTAATGAACATTTTTACTCACTCGAAGATATATAGAAGTACTTTTTGGTCATGGTGTTTTATTAGGAAGGTGTAACGGCAGCATAACACATCAAACACTCAGCAAAAAACTTCCTGTTTGTCACATATTAGTTAAAAGCCTACCCTTCCCCCATGAACACCGCAGTCAGTTCCTCCCACTTTAGTCGGCGAGTAGTCTCAGCTAAGATGCCGTGGTATCTAAAGTTTCATCCTTACTGATGATAGTTCCACATAAACAATGTCCATAAATACCCAAAGCCAGTGCAAAAAGACAAATTGCTGGTTTCCATCTTTAAGCTTAACTGCAGTCAATCCTAAAAGCCAGATTCTACGGGTTTTCTCTGTGTGAGATGGCTGAGTCATCATTTAGTTTGAGTGAACTACAGGATCCAAGAGGAGAGGGACACCACTCAAATCAGTAATACAACAAAGTACTTTAACCCAGAGGTCCTGAACCCACATGAATAAACGAGACCAGAGTCTCAAAGAAAACAGTATCATTTTATGCACTTTCACATATAGGTCGGCAACTGGCTTTCAAAGTGTGTTCCGGGCCAATTATCTTTTTTTTTGTTTGGTCATGAACAATTGTTGTTTTAACGTTGAAACAATCACTATAGTTTATAAACCAGCCATATTCCAACGTTGAAGATCAGTTGATACACTGACATAAATATAACTGTTGGGCATTCAATGTTGTTTTATCGTTGTTTCATTACTGAGATTACAACCGTCATAATTTCAACCATATTTGAACTATATTTCAACGTTGAAGGTCGGTCGTGTGCCTGCTGGGTATGTTATGATTTCTGGCATTGAACACGCTGTCCAAAATGTTTCCTGCTGTCTACAACGTGTCCTCTGAGAAAAATCATTTTTGGTGAAATTTATGACAAAACCGTTGAAAAACTGCAGACGCTGGAATCGGTGCACCGTTTAAAAGTGACTGTGATTTGGGAGCACTAATGGCATGAGATGATGAAAGCAAATCCAGAGGTAAAGCAGTTTCTGCAGGGATTTGAACCCCCACCAGCACCGCTCTCACCTCGTGAAGCGCTGTTCGGAGGGAGGACATGCCCCGTGCGTCTCAGATATTCGGCTCAGAGTGATGAAAAGATCAAATACGTCGACTTTACAAGTCTGTACCCTTACGTAAACGTGACACAAAGTTACCCCGTCGGTCATCCGCATATGTGAAAAATTTCAGAGATCCAAAAAGCTATTATGGTTTCATTAAAGCTGTGGTTTCCCCACCCAGAAAACTGTCTTTTCCTGTAAACATCTTTGGTGTGTTCTTGCTGTGTTGAAATTCTAATTCCATCTTTTTGTTCTTTTTAAAACACAGAAAGGTTTTATTTACCTGCAGCGTTTCGTTTGCGGCTGCAAACTTTGTCAGGCTGACGCTGATCTTTTTCCTGTTCTACCTTTTAAAACATCAAAGGGTAAACTGGTTTTTACCCTCTGCCGCACTTGTGCTGATTTGAATAACCAGACTGACTCTTACAGGCACAACTCATCTCAGCGAGCATTAACAGGTGTTTGGGTGAGTGTCTAATTCAATGTGGCTCTGGATGCAGGCTACCAGGTGATAAAAATGATAGAGGTGTGGGATTTTGAGAAAAGCAGCATGCTGTGTTTGCCAGCTATATTAACACATTTCTGAAACGCAAGTAACAAGCCTCTGGTTTTCCTGACTGACGATGAATCAAAAAGAAAATACGTCCAGGACTATGAACTTCATCAGGGCATACGTTTAGATTTGGCAAAAATTGAGCGCAATCCTGCTAAACGTTCCATTTCAAAATTATCTCTCACTTCATTGTGGAGAAAATTAGGAAAACGAGATGAACTTGTACAGACCACCTTCGTTAAGACTCCTAACCAATTTTTTGACTTTCTGTTTTCAGGTAAATACGAAGGTAAATTCTTCCAATTTATCGCCTCTGAAGTCGTTCTGGTGCAGCACAGCTTGAGTGAGAGATGTGTGTCAACTCCTGGATGGAGCAACAATGTTTTTCTTGCTGCCTTTACAACAGCGCACGCACGTCTCAAATTCGTCATCGTCTTCCTCCGCTTATCCGGGTCCGGGTCGCGGGGGCAGCATCCCAACTAGGGAGCTCCAGGCCGTCCTCTCCCCGGCCTTGTCCACCAGCTCCTCCGGCAGGACCCCAAGGCGTTCCCGGACCAGATTGGAGATGTAACCTCTCCAACGTGTCCTGGGTCGACCCGGGGGCCTTCTGCCGGCAGGACATGCCCGAAACACCTCCCCGGGGAGGCGTCCAGGAGGCATCCTGATCAGATGCCCAAACCACCTCAACTGGCTCCTTTCGATCCGGAGGAGCAGCGGTTCTACTCCGAGTCCCTCCCGAATGTCCGAGCTCCTCACCCTATCTCTAAGGCTGAGCCCAGCCACCCTACGGAGGAAACTCATTTCGGCCGCTTGTATCCGCGATCTCGTTCTTTCTGTCATTACCCAAAGCTCATGACCATAGGTGAGGATTGGGACGTAGATCGACCGGTAAATCGAGAGCCTGGCTTTCTGGCTCAGCTCCCTCTTCCCCAGGGCTGGACTGGGACAAAAATTCAGCCCGGGCATTTTGACTGGAGACCGGCCCATCACCTGATTTTTTTGGAAAAGACATTAAGCCTTACGCTGTTTCTGACACACACCAACGTACACTTTCTTATTGGTAGTATTTATGTATCAATCTAATAAACGTAAACCTACACCATCCTTCCTATCCTGGCATTCTAAAAAGTAGGGTTGGGGTAACTGATTATTTTTAAAATGATTATTCTGACGATTATTTTATCGAATAGTCGACTATTCTAATGACTATTTAGATGATTAATTTAGCGATTACTTTTCTATTGCACAATTAACAAAAACCAGAAAATCTCAAATAAATTCCTCAAAAAATTGATAAATTCTTACTGTAAGAGAATAAACACTACAGGCCTTCCATTCTTTATAACACTGCTTTTATTGTGTTGGTTGGTTATGTTCTGGTGACGTGTAGAACTTGGGAGTGCAGGCTGCTGCCTGAGAGGTGGTTGGAGACGGAGTGTCTCCATGCTGCTTTGTTTTGTTCACTTATGTGCATGAGGCAAGTGGTGTTACGACCCTTCCTGGGGAGTCACGTGTTTCTCCTATTTTAACTGTAAATCCTTCTAGCTGTTATATTTATAACAAGAAACAGATATTCGGACATAATATTTTCATGTTTATTCGAATATGATTGTGGAACACACCCAGCATCATAATAAATGAAGTAATATTTATGCCAATTTAAGCCTTTATGGGTGACCAGGACTCTGTGTTTATGAATGTGG